CGCTCTTCTCTCAAGTGTCAGTAGCATGGTAGTACCTTTCCGGTAATACAAAAATTCAAGGAGAGCGTAATAGTCCTAGTGTAGTCCCAGTACAGAAGTGCATGAGAAAGACTGTTTTCTCCTTATATACTATAGCATTTGCAGTCTGAAGTTGTAGCAATATTTCTTAACTAAGTCACTCAGTTTTTTTTATGCCAACCGTAACTCAGTATCTTTAGTTACAATTATGTTTTATTTCTGCATCATAACGCCTCATCTTTATTTTTTATCTGTTAGTTAGCGTTCTGTCAAGTGCAATCTTACTCTTGAGTTTTCTGTCATGTTTTGAATCTTTTTAGATCTTTGTTTAGAGCATTATACAGTTAATTTCCATTTTCAAATTCTGGATAATCCTGTGTTTGATGACATTATACTGTCTGATGAAGCTCTCCTGGCTGGAATATGAATGTTCTAGTTCTATAACCTGCATCTACGTTTATTGGGACGTTCTATATGTACAGCCCAAATTTTTGCCTCATAAAAATAATTCTCATCACTTAGATACCGTTTTTGGACTCTTGTAAATCCCAAATATCTTTCATCTATAATGTTGTTGAAGACAATGTGTTTTGTTTTGTTTTGTTTTTTTAACATTTTGTGTGCCTCTGTTTTGCTTGGGTTTTTTCTGATGTGTGAATTATATTCCATTCAGTACTGCTGAATAACCTTCTGCATTTGTTGTCCTTTTTTGATATTTAGTTCTTTGCCATACCAGATTCACTGGGTACAGCAGACTTGTTCTCTTGCTAATCTGGTTCCTCAGTGTGCCTCTGTAAAGTCAAGAGGAGCTTTGCTAACTGCATTTGCAAGAGATGGACTTTTACTTGCAGTAGCCGTTAATCAAAATGATCCAAAGGTATGAATGATAGACAGTATATCACTTAAGCTAATAGTTCAGTTGGAATGACGTCCGATAAAGTGATCTGCTGCATTGTTTTAAAAGTGATTTCAGCAAGGCACTGGATTACGTTCGTATCAATATCCACAGCCAAGAAGTTCTGTCCTAACTTGTAATTCTTTGAATGCTGTTATTCAGTTAAGAACTCCACGCCACCTACTCTTTCATCTATGATATTCCAGAAGTACAATAAAAAAGAAACTAAATTCAGGCAGTGCATCGTTGTATCTGCAAAGGTTTTAGATGATTCTCAGTCAGGCCTGAGTTGAAGATGGGAAAGAGATTATGGTCCCACTTTGTAAAGGCATTCCTTCTAACAACTCAAGGAGGCCAAATCTCAGGCCAAATCTTTTTGTAGACTGTAGTGCTACTGATGCCAGGAAATATTGACCAGCCTATGTAATATACCTAGAGGAGATGATGCAGTGCTTCAAAGCCTGAATGCTTATTCATCAATAAGACCAGATAAGAGTGATCTTAGATTATTTCTGGGGTATTAGAAAACAAACAACAAAAAAGGCACAGAGAGAGAGAGACATAGAGAGAGAAAACACATCTAATAAGATTTAATTATCTTTCAAATTTAGAAATACATGTAAAAATTAACTAATGCTCTAAATAGTGATGCCAAGTTGTAATGTCACTTTCATATAATGCTTCTAGTACATCAAATTTGATTCATGAATTGCTAATAGAAAGCTTTTTTTTTTTTTTAAACAATAATCATATACTGATATAAACTTTTCAATTGCTCTTTTTTCTCATTAGGCAACTCAGATTTTGTTTCTAAACACACTGAATTTTGTAACTGTTTCGGGTAGCCTTAAAGGTTCCAGTAGTAAGAATAAAGTGGTCCCGTCCAAGTTTATCAGGTCAGTAACTGATACTGTTTCTCCTGTTGTTGCGTTTTTCTTTTTTTCTTTGTCCCAGAAATTATTCTGACTTTTGTTACAGTGATTTGACAAAAAGAGATAAATATTTTCCCTGCCCTATTTAGGTCTTACTGGGTTGGTGACATGAGTTGGACTCCCGACAGCCTTTTCTTGGCTTGCATGTTGAAACGTGGATCTTTGATTTTATTGACTTGTATGGGTGAATTGCTGACCTTGATCACTTCAGGCTGCTCTGTTGAATTTGGACCAGCACAGTTTATTCCACTTCATCCCCTAATAACATGCAGGTAAAAGAGTTTGAAAATGTTTATATGTCTTTGTCATATGATCGTATCTTACTTTCTAACGTATTTTTTACAATTTTAAGTAAACTCATCTTTCAAATTCAGTCTGTTGCTTTCCTTGTGTCTTTCTTCTCAATATCTGTTTCTCATTCATAGTTCTCTTCTATTTCTTATAATGGGTTTGTCCTGATGAAAAATTGGCATTGTGGCAATGTAAGTATACGTTATTTAAGTGACTTTTGGGGCTGTTACACATTTAAGTGTTTATGAAATTAATGATAATTAAAAATATTTTTTACTGTAGGAAGAAATCAACTTTATAGAAATGCTAAAAGTATAGATTAATATCAATCCAGTGAGTTTTTCCTATTGATCGTTTAATTTTACTTACAGGAATTCATATCGAATTTCTGTATCAAATCTTTTAAATAAGATATTTGCATAGACAAAAAATAGTTAGGTGTTGAAATACATTTTGGTTATTCCAGGTCCAAATTTTGAAACTGTAGTGTTGGGGGTTAGGGTGGGGGGAATAAATAAAGGAGATCTGATAACACTTCTTTTTTTTTTTTTTTTTTTAACTTAAATTGTAAGTTACAAAAAATAATGCAACCTAAATACCTAGAAGAAACAGCATAATTTAAACATTACTATACTATTTTTAAAGGCCCTATTAGAACTGCCTGACTAAAGCCAGATAATGTATAAATATATTACCCCGTAAAACATTCGACTCTTTCCTGGTGTTTGTATATGTATGGTATTTCTAAAACGGTTAGTTTCATTATACCTTAGAAATATCTTAAATATAATCTAGAAATATCTAGACTATATCTAGTCTTCTTTAGGTAGTGTGTTCATTGCATATTGTATTTATGAATCACAGTGAAACTAACAAACTTTTTTTTGCCGGTTATTTTCTTAAGTTAGAATCAATACTTACACGGATGATAAGCAAACAGAGTCATGCATAGCATAAAACAGACTAATATTAAAGAAATAGCATCTTTTATAATCTTTTAAAAGTATCAAGGATTATTGCAACAGTCGGTGTACAAAAGTGGACAACTTTTATATACTTACAAGAAAGCATCATAACACCTTCTTACACCAGCAGATTGAAAAATCAGATATTGAAATGTATTAATATATCCTAATTACATTTATGTAATATATGCAGCTCCTCTAGATTTCACATAATCTGCTAACTTTTGGACTGTAAGGAAGTGGAAACAAATCAATTATTGAACACATTATTTCAAAATATTATGGCATTAATATTAGAACACATGTGCGGGACACATGCTTTTTGGAACTCTGTAAGGAGTCTTTTCATTGTAAGAAATGGTTTTGAACCTTTGTGTTTTGATTTAAAATATTTCTGTTAAATGACTGAGCTGATTCTGAAATATTAAGATTCTGACACTGGGTGTCTTTTTTTCATACATGACTTTATTAGAAATTAATTAGGATTTCATCTTGGAAGCATTTCTCATACATTATCATGCCAGTAGCTCTACTTGGAATGCATAAATTTAAGGAAGTTCTAAAGTTTTGCAGGATGAGCACCTTGGATTTATGCAAGATGTCAGTATTTTTCTGCAGCTGCAGCTCTGTGAATTAAAAAGAATTTAAAGTATACTCATATTATTTTGTTAGGAAATACATAAATCATATTGTTATTTCCTATTTGGCATTAAATTTCCTTATCGTAATTTTATTACCTAGCTTTTTGTGTAGGTGCTATATAATGTTCATAAGTTATTTTTACTCTTTTCCATTCATGATTATTGCATATGATAGTTCCTTCCCATTTTTCTGATGTATCTTTATTTTACTTGCTAGACAGCAGCACTCTTTGTGTCAAGACTCTAGTCAGTCTCTTGGTTCTTCAGCTTCTGAAAGTGACCTTTTGAGACAGAGATTCTCTGTTGCTTCACACTCAAGATTACCCTACCTCATTGTCTCGGATGGATACATGATAACAGTGCTGAGATTTCCTAACAACCTTTCACCGTCAAGATTTGTAAGATCCCTTTTGCTTGATTCAACCCAACGGCTTGAAAATATCCGTCAGAATTTCATGAACTGTAAGGTAAAGTTATGGATTTTGTTTGGGCGCTTTAAGTAAAAAAACTTGGTAAGTGTAAAAAAGTACAATTTTAAATAGAGTACTTTGATTTACTTTATTGTGAAATTTGCATAGATTCTTTTAAATTATACTTTTGTTTTGAGAACACTGATTTGGAAAACACTGAATACAGTTTTTTCTGAAATTGTTCATTTGTTTGGGTACCATTCCAGTGAAATGTAGTGAAGGGGATGGTCTAAACTGTCATTATATAATCTCTTCACATAAATCCACTCAATTTCTTTTAAAGTTATCTATCTGTAGAGTTGGTTCAGAGCACTGACAGATACTATGCTACTTTGACCAATTCATCCTTTCAGAATGATTCAGAAAGGATGCTATAAAAGCTCTCTATCTTAGAGAGGTCGCTGCTGTTTCAGAGCAGGCAACGGTAGTCCCAAAGGTATTGTGAGTATGTTCTCATTAAGTCCTTAATTGACCTTGTCAATTAAAGCTTGCTAAACCACTTTTGGGTTTATTTTTCACTTATACATTGAGCTAAGTGTGGGAAAAAGAGAAATCTTTGAAATAAGAGGTTTTGCAACTACTACAAACCACCTATCTCCCTAAGATGTAATAGATATTGAGAGCTTTTGTGTTTGCTAATGGACACTGAATACCAATTGTCTTCCAGTGGCTATCTGCTTGTATTTTGGATTTCTGGAGGTTCATGATATGATGGTATTCATGAATGAGGCAGAAGACTGGATGAGGATTTGAGGACTTAGACGTGGGTTGTTGTTAAGAACACAAGGAAGTGCTACATATTGGCAAGCTTGTGGGATGGTTTGAGGGATCAAGAAATCACATTCTTTCAGCGTGAAGTAAAATAAAGTCATCTAGTGTAGGAAAAATACTGCGTTCCCAAAGCATGGCCAAATGATAATTTGTTTCTGTGCAGCACATACACTCTGACCTGTTCTCTTCCTACCTGGAGTTTTCAAACTGAAGCTTTTTATAGCAGGGACCAGCTTCCTTGTTTTGTTTAGGAAGTGTCTGATTTGTTTTTACTGGAGGCAAATAACGTTTTGCATTATTATTACTTCTTTTAGTCTAAAGGGAGACGACTGTGTTCACGATCACTGTTGTCTTTAAAAGCTAGTCTTTTGAAACATGCTCAAAGTCAAAGCTCCATTTTTCCCACCATTCCAAAATTCCTGGAAGAGGACACAACAGAAATGAGTGAGAAAACCATGGATTTACAGGTATTTAATAGCATTTTTTACACTTATTATGCAAATGATTTAATTTTAAGATGTTCTAAATGTAAAAGATTTTTAAAAATCATATTTTAGGTATATTTGCTTTTTCTAGGGGTGTTTAAAGTAATTTCATATTTGACTAGGTTCTCGGGTTTTTACAGGTATGTGAGATTGTTGATTTTTTTCTCACTTGACCCTTTTGTTTGTTTTCAAACATCTTAACTATTTCTGTCAGAGATGAATTAACTTTTTAAAAACATTACCTCTATTTCATTTTCTGTTGTAGTTTTAGCTTCACTATATAATAAAATATAATGTTACACATATAGGGGCTATGAATAATATCATTAGTAAATAATAGTATTAGTAAGTAAGAGATTTATCCTCAATTTTAGACTTGCCTCAATTCCAAAATGTGAGTATGTTTTTAGGTAGAATGCCTCTGTGATCAAAGCCATTGTGCAGCCTTTCCCAACTACGTTTCATGCTTTTGGATTTTAATTTGTTTCTCTGATGAAGTTTCTCATTCTAAAACATGTGTCTGAGCTTCTGCTGAATGGCTTCAATACCTTACAGGTATCGGGGAAAAAAACTTCCTCATATTCCATGCTTCTCTTAGTCGTAAAGGACAGGATTTCAGTTTCTGATTTAGAAACTATTGCTGTATGTGCAGTGTAATTTTTTTTTTGGTTAGGTAGTAGATCTCTATCTACACAACTGTTAAAAATAACCATATCTAGGTTTTCACTCTAGAAAAAACTGCTAAGAAGTTAAATTTACTAACAGTGTTGTAGCTACCTTATCTGGGATAGCTACACAGGAAGTTAATTAAGAATAAAGATTCATATGTGAGACTGACTGAACTGTAATTCCTTGCAGTCTTTTTTTGGAAAATAGGCTTGAATTAAACTGTGGTTTTTTTTTCCTATCTGATATAGGATTATGAAGAAGAATCAGATGATGAAAAGCAGTTTCAAAGTAGCTTTTCCAGCTTCTCTAGCCAAAGAATCACTTCATTTGTTGGTAAAGCTGATCAAGGCCGTTTGGATTTTGCATCAATGTTTGATACCATTCATGCAAAAGGTGATACTGAAGAAAAGGATAACTTATCAGTGGAAGTAAATTCTATTCAGAAAAATCTCCTTACTGCCTGGCAGATAGGGATTTCAAAAAATATGCAAGAAAAAGATACTTTGCTGAATTACACAGTAAACTGCTTTACCCATTTTTTCAACATACTGCAGTTCATAACATGTTCTTCACTAAACCAGGATGCATTTTTAAACAAGTCTGCGAAGAGTACTGACTGGACGCATTGTGTGTTAAAATACTTTCAGCAGTGTTTAACTCTCCTGTACGGGCATTCAAGAGCCAGCCTGACTGGGCATGTGGCGAAGCTGACGTTACAAACGATAAAACCGATCCTTATTCAGCAACAAGATCAGTTGTTCTCAAAAAACCTTCTGGCATGCTTCTGTCTCTTAAGGATGGTTTCTCACACTCTAAGTAGCATGTGCGTACCACAGTATGAGAATATTTTTGCATCTCATGATGCTAATGGTCTTGTGCAGCTTGACTCCCTTGTGGTGCCTATTTTCCTAGTCCTTGATGAGGGTGCTACTCAGCAATTCAGCTCACTGAAATACCTGCTCAGAGAGCCCCCCCAAGCCATAAACCATGATGAAAAAACAGAAAAAAGGTATGATTGATCTTTGCATGGCAAAAATATTTGAACTACTATTTATTTCTTAATTATGCAGTAATTATAACATCCTTTTATTTTCTGTGTCATACTGCGTTTCTGTGGAAAAATAGGACAGTTCTATTAAAGCATGCAGATTAGGGCTCAGACCTGTTGTGGAATGTAGTTCAATTATAAGAACTTAACTAATTACTGCCAGTCAACTGAGAGAGATTTGGTGGGCTATCAGCTCACACCAGGTTGTCTGGTAGTATAACATCAGTCCAGGTATTGCAGTTTAAGATGTTTTTACTGCCTCTTGTCCATTCTGTCCTTCCCCTGCAGAAGTTCTGAACCCCATGGAGTCGAAACGCTGCTCGTAGGCTGTTTCTCTGCAGCGTAAATTTAGCCAGCAAACTTTGCACTTAATGTACACACGTTGTCCTGAGGCAATTAAAAAAAAAAAAGTGTGGAAACTTTAATTAAACTATCAGAGCTACTTCTTTGTACATATACACATAGACTCGAAAGAAGCTTAACCTTCAGTGTTTTATCCCTACATTGTGAAAATAAAAGAATCAGAAAGTGTGTTAATCACTCTAGCAAGCTGTTCTGTTGCACAGATTTAGAGGCTGAGAAGCGTTGTATCTCGCAAGTTTCATCTTAATACAGTAAAATGCATTTCTTAAGTAAGCTTAAAAAATAATATTATGTTCATTGTAAATGTGATAGGCAGCTTTTAATCGTCTCTGAGCAGATAATCCAGATTTTGGATGAATTATGTTTTGAGTGCTGAGCGCCACATATACTCCTATGACTGGCTCTGCATCTATTAATATTGGAAGCAGAAGTGCTAGAGAGCAAGATGCAGATGTGTTAGAATTCTGTACAAGCTTCCTCAGGGCTCTGACAATGTATATTTGCTTTTAGCCACAAGCCTGTTGCGAATCTGAGCTGGTACATCTAATAGTACTGTATTGGGCTGCAGGGACTTGACAGCCCTAGGTTTGTATGCTGCAGTCAGCTTTTTCCCTGACTTTGCTTTTTTCTGTTACTCTTTTGTTGCAATTTTCATCTGTCTAATTTATAAATACTGTGTTATCTGTTTTGAAGGTTTATCAAGGTTATTTCATTTCCCCATTCTTTAGCCAGAGATTCATTTTTGAAGCCAGCATTTGGGTGCTTGAAGTAGATTGATTCTTCTGAACATGTGTAAGCGTAACAATGTTTGGTGATCAAAAAGCAAACGCTAGGGCAAGAAGTGGTTTTTTTTCCCTTTATTGTGGTCAACAGAATTGTTTTTAACATAAAATATAATTTAATTTTCAGATCCATAATGCAAAATGCAAAAAACTGTATCTGTACTGTATACAAAATAACCATAAGTAAATTTGCTAACCTTTTAATTTTCTCATTATATTACACTTCTTGAATTACAGGTTGGCTATACTATGGCAATTATTGTACAAGAAAGTTGTTTGGTATCAGACACAGCTGAACAGAAAACCATGTAAGAATGCAGAGGAAGAGTCTGTTGTCTCATCAATTTTAAGCCACGTACAAGCAACCCTCCAGTCTTCAGGAGTGACTTTAGAACAACGTTTGAAGCTTAATTCTGTAGCTGGTTAGTACTTTGGAAAGAACTATAGTTCTTAGGTATTTGTGCTGTTGACTGAGTAGTAGATTGCAGATAAGTTGGACCTAATTTTTAATAACTGACCTTATTAGCTTAAATAATTAGTCAGTAGAGAACTTTTCTAAGAATTCTTACCAAAAGTGTTTCTTAAATACTTCCTGTCCCAGTGCACCTCTGTAGATCATGTTATATCCTTCAGAGCTTGTTGAGCTCTGCTTGTATTAAAAATATAATGTAATAAAAAGATTATATTGACTCCAGTTTGATTTCCATCACACCCTAAATTTGAAATTTATATATAGAGAATCTGAAAGCAAGATCTGAATCCTGATGTGGTTTGTACAGTCTTATTTCGTCTGAGGCAGCGGGCATCACAGTGTGTCTCTTAGAAGATTTCTAAATAGATATTCCTGTTACTTTGTGTGATCATTGTGGGCATGAACATGTCGTGTGTACGTGAATGTAGTCGACTTTGGCTCAGTGTCTAATTTAGCATAAACTGATCTAATAGACTTAAAGTGTAGCATGTTTATTCTGCAAACAGAACATGGTTGCAGCCTCATTTCCTACACATTAGTGTCCTATGTTTACTCTATCTTCCTTTCCCATTCCACGCTATTATAAGCCCAGCTTCCCACTTATGTCTCCCCCTGAAATACTCCCTGTCTTCTCCATATCACTACCTGGAATAATGCTTAATAGCTTTTCCTCGTGCATCACTCCATACAATACATTAGCTCCTTCAGATGTCTCTCTGATCCCAGCAATATATGCAGCTTTTCAGCCTTTCCGTGTGTTCTTTATTTACATTCTTAGGTTTGCCAAATAGATAACATGCGTATTACGGACAGTCTAATCCCATACATGCTGACGAGCCGGCCAGTATGTCTCAACTGGCTAGCTGCTAATAAGCAGAATGCAGAGTGACAGATTTGTCCTTGCCTTTCCTTTTGTGGCGGCACTAGCCTTTTATTCTTCTGCTCTGCCCAGGGGCTGTGCTTTTGTAAACTTTTGTTTATTCATTCATTCATTTCACCTACTTTAAGAAATACAAATACATGTGTGAGAATCTACCTTTCTGTCAAAGTAGTTTGAAATTGACCAGTGGACTAAAAATAGAGGTGGAGAGGTGAAATTCAGAGAGATGAAATGTGTAACAGTCCATAGACCTGTAGTTTGAAACTGCTTTTACAGTGAAACAAAATATACTTTCGGTTGACTAAGTAGCTTTACAACTATTTTTTACAATGAACTTTTTTGACATCATATGAAATCTGAAAATGGATGAGAGAAAATACTTTTCCCCATTAGTAAATAATTGTGGGTTTTGAATGCTGAAGTGCCTAACTACAGTTACATTTATATTCTTTTACTGTATGTAATCTAAAAAAAAAATTACTGAGGTTCAGAAGTATTTATAACCTAAATTGACTTTTTGTTTAATGACTTAGCAGTTAAAACAAAGAAACAAGCAAAGAAGACGTTAGGATTCAAACTTACCTTCTCTCAGACCTTAGATTTAGCTGAGAAAATAGAAATTCCCTAGAGATAACATACATATTTTACAGTACTCTGCTTTTCATAATTCTGTAATACTCAATTAAGTGTATGTGTGCGTGCGCACGTGTAAAACTGTAACTATGCTTTTAACTTGTTGAATATATGATTTTTAAAGGTGAGGAGAAGTTCCTTTTAGGCTCCTACAGAGAATCTTTGGATGCGTGGAAAAGATCTCTTTGTGAAATCAAAGCAAATGGTAAGGGATAAAATAATCTTTTTTTTTTTTAAACAGTTTGTGTAATCACTTTACATAGTTATTCATGATTCTCTTTTGCTCTTCAGAAAGGAAGACAGATTTAAAAAAGATAAAGGAGAAAGAAAAGATAAAGGATGCATCTTTGAAATTAAGCTGACTTGAGTAGAGACCAGTCGAAACTTACCTTGATTGCTGTCTGAGAAAATTCCATGCATTTCTATTTTGACAGCAGGATTTTTTCCTGACTATAACGTACTTGATCCAGAAAAACTTCAAGTAGATTTCTGAGCAAGAAAATAACAGTGAAAGACAAATGAACAAAAATTAATTGTATTGTAGTAAAACCAAAAGACTTTCAGTGGTTGGGGAGTAACAACACTAAAAAGAATCTGTGATTTTGGAGTTTATGTAGGAATTGTTTGGAAACAGATATTCCAAAACTCTTCCCAGGGATCATGACAATAATTTTTTTTTTTTCCCTCTGATTGCTAAGATGAGGAATACCTCATTCAGAACTATGCAGAGAGGATTCAGGATATTTGAAACCTGGTGGATCTCTAAGCAAATCAAGAGTTAATTTCATTGTCTTAGGCATCCCCTCTGTAGATGCTAGGATTCCCTGAGCTGTGCTGCCTTTGCTGTGTCTTAACAATTACACACTGCATCTCTAGAAGCGAGGCTGTTAAAGATGAGCATTGACTCTCTGGTAACTTATAGACTGAAGGAGGATCGTGTCTCCTAAAATAACTGCATTTGAGTTCTATTCCTGGTACTACCAGTACTTTCTCAGAGTATATATTTGTGTGGACGTGTGTTTTGGAGATGGAGAAAGTATTGGTTTCAGACCTGCTATGTCTGCTTTTGTGTTTATTGCTTTCTTTCCCTTTTTTCTCTTTTAATGCAGGAGGAAAAAGAACATGTTTTCTTCAAAGTAGATACTATCTTGCTATATTATTTTGCCACTTATATCACTATAACTTGTGTGAAGCTCAGGGTCTCTGTGATCATCTAGTAGGAGAGATTCTAAGGCGGTCGCAGCTCTCAGTAAGGCAGATGGAAATTTTTTCTGGTATGTTTACATGTCCTGAAAATAGAGGTATAGTAACACGTATTAATATTGTTTGGATGACCTGGAGTTTGATTTTGATGCCATCATACACACACTTGACACTGTTCTTTTCTCTTTACACTGAACAAATCTTTTCAGTGACCTTAGAAATCTTTTTCTGATTGCAGTTATTGGAGTAGCTGTTCAGACAGCTTTTTTTTATCATGTAATTTATAGTGAAAGTGTGGTTGTTAAACGTTCTTAGGTTCAAATCTGCTCAAAGAAACGACTTTGACTGAGGAAAATGAGAAAATGACACAATTTTATTTTATATTGATCTATCTTTTTATGATGTGACATAATAAAATAGTTGATTTAGGTTTGGTCACCAATCCTAAATTGACACTGGGTTTTTTCTGCAAATGTTTATATCCTTTTCCTGCTTTTTGCTGAGTCAAAGTATTGGGTCTGAGCATTTCCAAATTTAAACAGAGTTTTTGACTCAGATCTGATCTAAATTTGGAGATTAGGGTCCATCTGTAGTAAATAGAAACTAATATGAAAGTCTTTAATATTAAATGTAATTAATGGAAAAGATTCAGCTCTGTAAGTCCTGGAAGCTTATCAAGAAATTAAATAATAACCTAGTTTGCTCGTTTAAAAGAAACATTTTATAGGCTGTAATTAAACATTCAAAGCATTCAAATTTTAAGTAATTTTCCTCTGAATGTTTTAATTTGGTATCTATTTTTTTTTAAGATACCAAATATTCTCAACATGAACTGTGGAGGATAACAGATGTTCATGCTGAAGCAGCTATGGCTGTGATTCAATCTATGGCACGATTCATGGCCGCTTATTTCACAAATCACCTGCTTTATATCCTTCCCCCCCACAACGTTGACATCCTGCATCCACTTCACATCAAACCAGGTATTTTCTTTAAATGTAGTTTAATGTGCTGGGCTTAACTCTTTTTCACATGCATATTAATGCTAAATATTATACTTTAACTTTGTGATTTATGATTTTCTGCAGCATTAATTGTAAAGATTAAATAACTTAGGTTTATCCAGTTTATCCAGGTATTTTTGCTGAGGAGTATGCGTGTGTGTAAGATGAGTATTTCACATCTTTCGATTTATTGAAAATATTTTGGTATTTAAAGTTAATATTTTAAGAGGCAACTAAATCATGTAATCCATATATTAACGTGATTTTTTTTATGTCCGTTTTGTCATGCTTTGAGATTAGTGATTTAAATTTGATATTCAAGGAGAAGAATGCAATTTTTTTCACCAAAATCATACAACAATGTAATTTCACGGTTCTTACACTACTTTTGCTTAGACCTGTGGCTCTGACTCTGACTTTGATCCTCCCAAAACGGGGGAAAAAGCAGTGCTTTAAAACTGTTCAGACGGGACTGCAATGTGGAATGACCCAAACTGAAAATCCAGAAAAAAACCTTTTTTTGCTTATTCAGTAAGAATCAGGCCCTTGGAAGCCGAAGTGCTTCAGACACTATAGTATCAGAGCAAGCTGATTTGTCATGGTACGCAAGTAGTACTTAGGAGTACCTTCGTCATTTTCTGAGAATGTGTATTTATCACACCGGATGGTTTGTCTGTTTTCTGCAAGAGACTCTGTCTGAAGATTTCCCTTCGTAGGAAGTTTTGTGTTTCAGAGTTAATGTTTCAAAGTGATTTAATGTCCACTGGCATTAAAAAAAAAAAAAGTGTTATATTAGAAGTATTTTAAGTACTTTAATATTACCTTAATTTGATTACTTAGATTTTCTAAAGTTATCTGAATATATAGATTATTTTTAATATTCCTGTGCTACAACAGGTGCCAGTATGTGTTTCTGCAAGGTCTATCTGAATATTTTAATCAGACCATTTTTCAAACACAACCTAGAAAATAAGACCTTGATTTTGATTCTTGCCTTATTCAAAGATCCATGTTCATGGTGAGCTTTTCAAAGAAAATTTATGTTCCACAAGCAGGTTCAATGTGAATATTTCCATTAATAATTAATAATGTCATTGCCTCAACAGCAGCAAAAAGGATGGGAGAAGCAGTTTGCTCCTTAGAGTTCATGTTGATTAGCTATACTATAGGTTTCTTGCACACTGAATGTACCTCTCCGTGAAAACCAGGAAATAAGACCATGGAAAAACAGTTTAAACCTTAGGAAACAATAAAATACTAAGTTTGTCTTTAACCTTAGTCTACTCTCTTAAAATATTATGCTATTCTTTCCCAAAAATGCACTGTAGCTTTCTATCTTCCTGTGCAATAAGGAGCGTATAGTGAGTGCACACAACACGGGTACAGTAGGAAAACTCTGTTTTCCTTTTTCCTCTGATGTACCTTCTGAAATATCACCAGCACATGTAGCTTATTTGCAAGTGTTCCATCAGTGTGATTAAGTCTTTAAAGTAAGAATAACACACAAATCTTGCATATGCTTGCGTACTGCACATTACTAAGCAGAAAATAGCCTGTTCTGAACTTAAGATTATGTTATACCATGAGCTGTGTCTATGTGCTGGAGATAAACCCTGTAGCACGTCTCTAATAAAGCACAATTGTATACTGAAATGAATCAGAAGGCAGTGTGAACAGAACTTCGTAGTATAAACTCTGGATTGTTCAAATAGATCTGCATACTGTAAGGTGAATATTAAGATGTGTTTTTGTGCCTCAGATATATCTCCTCGTATCGTTCCCCTGCAACACTCTTTGGTTACCAGAGCTGTCAGAGACCAGAACCTTTCCTCTGTGTGGACGGCTGAATATGCTCTTGACTTGTTCTTTGTTGGTGGACTCATTCCAGAGGCTGTGTGGCTAACACGCAGGCTTGGGGACTGGAAACTGTCCATTTCAATTGCTGTGGCCTACAATCTATATTGTCAAAACTCTGATCAGTTCTCAAGGTAAATTGGGGCTTGGAATGAGTGTAATACATTTTGTTAAACTTTATTTGCGTGAACATTAATTTAACAAGACGTATTGTTTGCTCCAAAAATTTCTGTCTCTAAATTTTTCGTAGCTGTAGGACCTAACACCTTATGATTAGTTACTGTGTCTTAGATGGTTCATTTTACAGAGTTTTGTCAGATTCTCTGTTCTTTACTTTCTTTTTAATGAACAGTTTATTGGTACGCTTTCAGACTGGAAAAGACAGAGTATCATCTGCCGTTGGACTTATCAGCAACACAGACTTTTCAGGAAAAGTTACAGTCTTTGTTAGGACAACCGGTTACTTCTGAAAGAGCAAATGAGGAAAGTATTAAACAGTTTACAGGTACATAAAATTATAAACAATGTTGTTTATTCTTCCTGTTATTTTACTCCATATTACATGTTATAAATTGTCTTAAAAAGAAGCAAGTATCTCTTCTTCACCAGCATGTGTTACTATTATAATGTACACAAATACTTTACCTTCTATGTGCTTTTGGGTTTTGGCTTTTATCAGTCCAAAAAAAGACCCTATTATCAGTCTTGTCTGTCAGTCTGGGGAGAGTATTACAGCTTCATTCATGGCTTGCAATCAAAAGTTTTTCTTATTCTGTGCTTTGTGGTTTTTATAAGGCTGTAAAATAGTCTTTCCTTTGTACTTATCAGATATCTGTCAATACCTTATTTAACTATATTAACTTCATTTTGGAAGAACTGATGCTTCATTAAAACAAAAACAATACCCTGAAATAAATGTGAATATACTAACAGCATGGAAGATATCATCACACTTGTATTAAAATTAGTTACACAGTGATGATCTTTAATTTTTACCTTTTTGCATTACTGCTAAAATTTCCCCCCCCTAACTAGATCAACCTGTCCTTGTTTACGTCTTACAGAAACTTTACTGGTACGATCCCTATTCTTTACTCTTTTTTTCTGTGTGTTTGGAAGCAGCATTTTGAGTACCTGTCAGCATGTGGATGCCATGTTAATCTTTATCTAAGCCAGATTCAAAACACTGTGTAGTTTCTTCCTTTGTACTCATTTCTAAGGATTTTATTTTTAAAACACGCACACATGCACACACTGTATATAATCATTTATAAGTATAGTAGGTACTGAAGAGACTTGGCAAAACAGATTATTTCAAGAAAAGCAGTAGGAGTACATACAGAAGCAGAGCAGTACAGTAGTAGACAAATTTCAAGAATCAGTTAATGATGTGAATTAAAGATCCTGCCGCTTCTAGGAAGTGAGAAGAAAATGGAATGATATATTTAAAAGCAAACTAAAAAACCCCACTGTAATTCCCTGTCTTTGATCATGCTGACTAATAAAATAATTGTTATGGTCATTAAGGACGTGTACAATTTATGTCTGTTGGATGAGAATGATTTCCCAATTTTATCCCAAACAAATGGCTGGCTGGAAAGTTCAGCCCTCTATCCAGAAAGGCAGTAGTTTTTCCTTAGTGTGGGGAAGTACTAAAATTAATTAAATACTCTTTTCAATTGTGAGAAAGTTATCTTGAAGCAAGGAGGCGAGATGTTTAGATTGTAATAGGTGAATGTGAATTATGATAACAAAGCTTCATAATTTCAGAACGAAGGGCATGTATTAGTTGAGTCAGTTCATTTATCAGTTTTTGTCCTTAATATTTTACAGATCCCATTGAAGAAGAAGATGCAAATGTTCTTTATGGTTCAGTGCAGGAACTACTGAAAGCTGCTGTTATGGCAGATGCTGATATTCTTTCAGAAACGTTTCAGCTTTTGATGGATTCTGGCAAGGATCTTGCCAGAAAGCTGTGTGGCTTAGTTCCTGATGGGCTTTATCTTCCAGCTCCACCATTGTACTGTCCTCAGCCGGCTGCTCTCAGTGAAGTACGCACGTGTGATAGGAGTTTTTGGGGTACTAGTTGAATGTATTTAAAAATGATCTTGACCTGTCTGGTTCCTTGAAGTTCTTTTTTTTTTTTCTACTCTTTTTTTCTGTCTGATTTTTTTTCTGTGTTCATTTGTTCATGTAAGTAGAACCATAGTTAAAAAGAATTGTATGTCTCTTCCTGTTTTTTCCATAAAGAATCTGTGCTCTAAAGAACATGAGGTGCAGAAGATGATATGCAAAAATGATATTTGTCAGATTCCTTATTGTTTATATCCTTTCTAATTTTTGGCTGTATTGCTTTCTGCCTGGATTTTGCATTTTTCAGGAAGATTGCAATGACGTTCTTCTAAAAGTTGAGAGGGAAGCTCGTCAGAAAGTGTCAGGAGTTCTGCAGCGAATTATCTTGCTGTTCCGGGCCGCTCGTTGTTCCTGCCCTGCAGCACAGTGGTATATTGCACAACTGAAGAGGGCAAGGAAAGTTATGCAAAAAGTAAGGACTAAACATATTTATTTGTAACTTGATTATCGTTAGTATATATATTATTGACTTGACAGGCTTGTAGTTGCATAGCAGAATCATTCAGCCTCATGTTGATTCTGCTAATGTCAGGTGTTTTTCACATATCTTCGTCCATAGTTTTATACTCCATGTTCAGCTCTTTCAGGAAACCGGAACCTGAAGATGCAAGATGTCTGCTTCATTAAAGTGTCTCCTTTTACGTTTCTTTATGTACCTGCTTGATAAAGTGTAAACTTACTTCTGTCGGAGGTCTGTCATATAAGTGCCTCCATTTGAAGGAAACAAGCTCATTTTAACTGGGAGTTGTAGCTGCTGTTACTGGAGGTGTGTTCCAGATCACTGAGGTTTCAATACATAAGAGAGAAGCTGATGCTCACCTAAGGTAAAGCACAGGGCTTATGGGCTGTCATGTACAGAGCTGGATCAGGAACTGCCCTGGCTGACAAGTAAGTATTTACCTCTTCTTGCTCACTGCATGGCCACAAAAACACTTAATGCTGGCGCAGGCATGTGGTGAGAAGTGGCAGCTGAAAGAGGGAAGAAGGCCAGTCTGTCTAGTTGGCAGCAGCCTGACTGTGCTGGATTCAGGTTACCACATAACTGTGGGCTTAGTTTCTCCAATACATTGTTGCTCAGATATTTCATGGTACTCATGATTTCTATGTAGACTAAAGCATTCCAGGTACCATAGCTCGTACTAAACATATTCCTTTAAATTAATTTTCAAAATACTGAATTGAAGAAAATGGAAAGTAAGCTTAAGGGAATTCTACTGATCTTGACAATGTTCTGCTAATAACCTAGAGGCTATGCTTTCGTAGTGATATGTACAAAACGTTAACTGATTTCTTTAATATCAATTTTGACGTGTAAATGAAAGGCTGAATTAAATTTCTAATTTGTAGATACAAGTATAAATTGGTAATCTATATTTAAATAATTAAAATCTAGAATTTGTTTGTTTTTTTTTTTTCATCTGTAGATTCGAATGAAAGGATGCCTGCCTTCACTGAGTCCGTTCCCAGAGAGTTTATTTCGTTATTCCCGTTTCCCTACTGTATTCAATAGACCAGCATCTTCTGGAGACCATCAGTTTGATGATATTTCCTGTAAAATTTTAGGTCTGTACGCAGTAAAATAGACTAATTCATAGCTGAAAAAAGAACATAAGAGAATCTGCAGGTACAAAGAAACTCTAATCAGCTTGAAATGTTATACTGCAATATCTGCAGAAATACTTTCTGTTTCTAGCTTTTAATTCTGTTAGTTATCAGACTGTTAATCCAAAGGTTCCTGTTCTAGGTTGTTGTAGATCTGACAGATGTGAAAGATGAACACTAAGCGGGACTGCAGAGCTTTAGCTGTGGGATACTATAGAAAAATCAAGGTTGAGGGTTTTTCTCTTTAATTACTGTTAAGATAAATAATATTAATTCCTTTCCTCAAGCTAGAAATCTCAACCTGTGTTATTTCATTTATTTAAATAGAACTTCTCACCACATTGCAGATTTCTCTTACAGGCTGCTTCAGAGAACTATGTGCCTTGTGTTGGATGTTTCATGTTCGTGAAAGATTATCTGACAATTGTAGGCGGTACCAAACTGCAAGAGAAACTATGAGCAATCGTAAGGTGATTATGTTACTAATATAGTAAAGATATATTGTAATAGCATAGAACTATAAGAAGAATTCTAAAGATTTGCTGTAAGTTTGTGTTGAGGACTCTTTATTTGCTTGGTAGGACAATATTAAGATAGTGAAATAATGTGCAGTAAGTATATGATACCACAAAATAATGCAGCCCACATGAAGTACATCTTTCTAATGGTATTTCTGTTGGTCTTTGGCTTGATACTTAACTTAGGTAATTAAAAAGACATACTGCGAGAACTGCCGTAGTTTCTGCATTTGTTATTTAGCTAAGGTATTTACTCCTTTTATGTTTTTCTTAATTAAGTTATTTTGACCATTTCCTGACCCATGTGTATTTTGTATACTGTTTTCCTTTGCATGATGCAAGTTTTATGGTCAAGGTTGAGTCTTTGGTATGTTCAAAAAAAACCAGTGAAAGATGTTAAAATTCAGTAACGTGTTCTCTACTTTTACCTTCGTTAACTGATGTCAGACATCAAGGAAGAAGGAAGAAACTATTGGCATATGTTATTTGTTGTATTTTCTGTAACAGCATGGATATTGATTTTTGTCCCATCTATATTAGCAAATCTGCAGACATCAGCAAGGAGTTGTTTCCTTTTAAAAATGAGCTCCAAATTTCTCTCCATCAGAAAAATCAAGCTTCGAATAAAAAGGATGGCTGTTTCAAATAGTAGAATATTCTAATTTTTCTGTGGTTTTTGTGACAGTATCAAATCAAATACGAAACACTGACTTCCTCAAAATAAACTGATCCATACTAAAAGCTCCTCAGCTTGCTTCAATATGTTGCCCCTAAGGAAGGGTTTTCGATCAGCTTACATCCATAGGTTTTACTCTAAATGACTTCAAGTGGGCTCTTCAGCAGAGTGTTAATAGAATTATTTCCTAAGCTGTTTTAAAACAAACTCTTTTTTTTCCACGTTACAGTCAGTTACGACCTTGATCCCACATCCCGACAGTGTGTTCTTCTCTCACTGGCAATTAAGTTTTTTTTTTCTGTTAGCTACAGAAGAATCATTAAACGTTAGAGCATGTGAATAATTTAGCTGAAATTTATTGTTCGTATCAATTAATGTTTACCTAGCAACTTCTTTTCAGGATCTTAAGGAGAATGAGTATGATGCCTCTACAGTTGAGCATTGTCTGACTGCAGTGGAATGGGCTTGTCGAATGCTTCCTTTCTGCAGGTTCATGAATGTTGAAGAATTAGTTCAAGATGTAATTTTGAGTCTTCTTGGAGAATTGCCACCAATCAAAAAGGTAAAAGAAACTACAGCTAAATCAAAAGCAGTAGAGGCTGTCTCAAGTTTTTCCTCTCCCTTTAAATGCTACTGTTTAAATGCTACTGTTCAGACTTTTTGGTGGTGCATGTTCTGTTCGGAATTATAACTTACTTCTCTGTCAGTTACTTGAAAAGATGCTTTCTTTTGTGCAGGTGGCAGAAATTTTGGTAAAAGCATTTCCTAATTCTGAAGATGTAAGGGTTCCACTAAGAGAGAAATATCACGCTCTTCAACAGCAACTCAGACACTGTATTGTTAAAGGTAACATGCATCCTTCAGGAAATATGAAACAAACTCTCTTCCTTGTTCACCCTACTTACTGATTGTTAGTACTTGTGACAATTCCGTCTGTCTTATCGCATGTAGAACAGTTATTTTAGCTTTCAGTTACACGGCTTTGAGAAAGTTCTGTGATAGATTCTGTCACGACTTCAGAGTTGAAGGCGTTTCTTCTCTTCGTCACTGTTGCAGTCTGCATTTCTTAATGATGCATAATTTATGATTTAAAATTTATTCATGTCTTAATATGAGAGAGTCAGTCAAGACAGCAAAGTTTCCACTTAAAATCACTTATTTCTCTTTCTTTGGTTAGGTCCCAATAGCGAAGAAGTGATGTCTCATGTTATACAGGCTGCTGAAAAAATGAGAGTGAAGGCCTTGAAACGTGTAATAAGGAACATAGGCCCCATTGAAATTAATATCTGGGAGCCGGCAGAAGAGGGAGCAGCAGATGATGAGGCTCATTGTTATGACAGATTCTCATTAGGGACTAGTCTAAGCAGAAGTACGCTTACTGATCTTGGGAATCCTCAGGTATATAGCGATGCTGAAACAGTAGATACACTTTCTGATGCTTTGCTTACTGAAGAAACAAGAGAACAAACACCTTCACTTCAAAGGTATGAAGAAACTGGCAGCAGGAAGCTCTCTTGGGGGGGCAGGGAGTTTTCTTTTATCATTCAAGCAACTTCTTCACCAAAAAGGATAATTGTCATTTATCAAATTACCTGTTACGAGAAAGTTTGAATCTTAGGACTGCCAGTGTTATATCACTTACTATGCAATATCTGTTCATGAAGTTTAAAGTATTAGCTACGATAAAATTCATATGAAATACTGCTGAGTTTCTGTCCATGTGAGAGCTAGGGGTTCTGTATGTGGTGATTAATTTGCCATCTGAAATTGTATTAATGTAAATTTGCCTTTGTTAGTTTCCGATTTTTAACAATAGAGGAAAAAGGCGGAGCAATGTTGCGTTTATATATTTTTTTCACATAATTTTGAAGTTATCTATACTTCTGTTTGTTTATTGTCTTATAGGGATAATGAGCCTAGGAGAGGAGGAGAAACAGGTAGCAAGAATACTGCCTATAAGATAAGAACTCTCAACTGGAAAACAAAACCTAAAGAAGAAGTACATAGAAGGGACCTGCATAATCAGTGTAATTTGCCTATAGTTGGTGCTTGGGAATTTGAACGTGATGATGATGAATATGTTATTTTCTTAGAACTCTTTTTGAGTTATATTCTTGAGAGAGACCTGATAAATTGCAGTGACCTTGGAATTCCATTTCTTGCTAGCTTTTCTGGACTTCTTAGAGAACATGAATTAAACTCTCTCCTTTTTGATGTTCATACAACACTAAAACGTCGACAAGGCAAAACAAGAAGCCAGAGTGTGTTTAGAGCTGGGTCTTGCTATACTGTCACCCTGTCGTCTTGCAATCCTGACACAGTTTCTGTCTATAATGAAAACCAGAACGTTGTGGAAAATCAAATGTCTATTTCTGTTGTACAGCCAGCAGAATCACCTGGATCTTCTGAGCACAACTTAATGAAAGGACTTGATAAAGGATTATTTGGTTTAAAACACAAGTTAATTTACAGAGCTCAGGATGACACTCAAGGAGTGACTGTTGCACCAGCAAGCCAGGCCTTTCCCAACCATACTTTCTCTAGCTTACAAACTCCAGTCACTTCTAAATACGTTTACAAAACTATTCATACGCTTGATGTTGCAGCGGGAGATGAACTAGCTATAGAATTGATGGATAAATTCAGCAATATAGCAAGATTACTTGAATGGATGATCAGATGGTCTGATAAAAAACTGCTCTGTGGTTCCAATAAACATGACTCATCAGAGGAGAGTCTCCCAATGATACATGTGAAAACATCAGCAGCTGCTGTCCTTACTTCCTTATGGCTTTTAGAACAGCTATTAAATGATGGATCACAAGCAAGGAGGATAAAATTTAAGGTAAGAAAGAGGATGGGGAGTGTCAGTGAAACGTGTGGGTTATTTATGCCAATAAAGAAGATATTACATTATATCTTTTATTTCAGAGGTGTATTCTCAGTGAAACACAGAATGTGGAGTAATAGCCTTTCCTTTACGGGTTGCTAGGAAAAGAAAAACATTCCAGGAGTACTGAAGTGCTGTAGGAAGACAGTGGTTGGAGATGAAAGTCCTCTTTAAAATCTAACTGCTTTATCTAGATACCACAGTACTTGAGCAAATGCTTAGAAGTTAAATCAGTGCATCCAGTTCTGGACATCATATTTGAAAAAGGTAGAATTGGAGATAGCAGAGTTTGAAAAAACAGGACAATTTATCAAGAAATAGTTTCTTTGAGGAGACTTAAATTTTGAATTGTTTGTCTTCAGAGGTCAGTGCAGATGTGGTTGAACTGAAGTATTGGTGAAAAGTGAATTTTGAATTAACACTTTTACACAGAATTGGAGAACGTGTGTTAATATAAAAGAAAAAATTTGTCAGAAGAATCTGATGCAGTGTTACTTTATATTTGGGGGTCAGCGGGACCCTTTTTCCTCTTTATCTGGGCTTGAAAGGGTTCTTTCTTGGTTTTGAAGGTTTTTCTCACAGATTAAGAGCTTTTGTCTCGTATTTGATTTGCATTTGCTGTTTCCTGCCAAGTGCCACCTGTATTTGATTTACAACTTGCTGCTAAAATGTTGTACGTGTTTCCCATTAGGTGCAATTAGATAAGTTATTCTTTGCCTCTTAAACTCTCTTCAGTGATAATAATTAGTAGTAATTTAATACCAAGATTTTATTACTGGTACAGAAGGCCAAATATTTTTGTATTTGTTTGTATAGAGTATATTAAATTGTCACATACCAAAAACGATAAGTAATATTTTATGAATCCTTTAGAGAAGCCAAAGGACTCTTGCTTCGCTTAGTGCAAAAAGAGGCAAAACTCAGCTTCTACAGGAAACTGTAAATCCGAATTTCTCAGCTCTGTAGTAGACAAAATGATATGAAGTTAAGCGTAAACATACCATGTGAAATAGTAATTTTTTAAGAAATATCAAATAGCTTTTTTTTAAACAGTGATTTGATTTATTTTATTTTTTTTTATTTTATTTTGTTGTAATAGCATCCAGGTAATCAATACGTGAAAGAATTTTTATCTGTATCAGAAGTGCAACCTAAGGCAGAGAAAGAAAGTAGCACAGATGAAGGCTCTTTTGTCTTGGCAGATCCTCCACTCGATGTCCAGAGTATAAAAGCCTATGATGACCTCTGCGAAAGTGGTTTGGGGTAATTTTTTTTTTTTTTTTTTAAACCTAAGAACTCTAATTGGTCATAATTCCTTAGCTAAGCAGGACATCAGTATGAGAGTCCTACTATTATGACGTGCTATATACCTAATTTATTTTGAGTATAAAGCCAAATTTTGATTTCACATAGGTATCCTTTACAGCTGTGTGAAATAGAAATGTTACTTTGTTAGATGTTATTCCCAAAAGATGATCTATAGATATTAAATCTAACCTCTTCTTAAGTATCTATGTAAGTTAGTAATTCCACTGGAAAGTTTAAGGTATTCTTTTCTGTACTGTGATACCTGTTACCAACTTTATGAAAGGAAATCCAGATTTTTATTATGCTTCATAAAATTGCATGCCATTATATCTTCTAAATAATCGACCAAATTTATAATGCAAAATTTTCAGGAAATTCCAGGTATTAATGATTTTAGTGATTTTGTTCTGTGCTCACGTCACTTTTCCTGACATTGAGAAAAAATCTTAGGCTCTATCTTAAACACTGTTAGTGTTAACAAGCTGCAAGTTTTGCACATTGTCACATCGTTGTTTTAAGAGGTCCCTTTTTATAGAAGTTCAGGAGTGAGACCTAATATACTCTTGAGATACACAAAAGGAGATTAAAAATGTACCATCAACAGACATACCTTATTTAGGAAATGACCTAACTGATGCATATGAAGTGATTTGTTTATAGTGTTATTTGTTTATAAACGCTATTGCTTATAGAGTTAGTAATGTGGAAATGGGATAAAGGTTTCTGATGTAATTGATATCAGGGTTTTGCAGATAATTCAGATAAATTTCACTCTCTTCAGTGTAGTTTTCATTATGTTGAGATGAGAGTTGACAGCATTTTTCCCTACCCCTGGGTCTGTAATCTAGTTGTGTTCATATATGTGCATGTGAGAAAAAATAGGAGGGAAAAGGGAGCAATTATTTGTTAATATCTTGAACTCCTCCAAAGATGGAGAGTCCACAGCATGAAGTGCTTTGTGATATTTCTTTACATCTCATGCTCTGCAAGCAAAGAAACAAAAGGTCTTCAGTATTAGTATTCTAAGATATTGACATACGGCTTCTCTGGCAACAAAATTTTTTAAACAAAGGAAATTTCTGTAAGGGAGATAAACAAATTCTTAGCCAGATGTTTTCAAATCCGTGGTACAGTTTATGCCTTATTTTCTTTTTGGTAAATTGTATGTGTTGGTTACATTTTCCAGGATCCAGCCCATCTGAAACACTGTACTATTAATGTTAATAAAATCACATAGCTATACCCAGAAAAGTTAATCTTGGTTTAAATAAAATTCAGAGAGTAATTTTATGTGAGCGCTGATTATATCACTCCAGTACTTACGCTACAGTTATTCCCTAGCCTGCAATCTAGGAGAACAGTATACTTATACTAAATCAAATAGTTACCTTATTTCTATTTTTAATTGCCTTTTCTAATTCTAATTACCAGAATGTCTACGAAGTCAAATTATTGTAAGAAAAAGGAAATTAATCGTGAGAATTATGCTGTACCTCATAGGATTGAAGTTCTTCATGAAGAGGGACCATTTCTTCGGGAGGAGTTAGCTGTAGTATCAGAAAGTGAAGGTTCGTTTTTATGCTATATCCTTTTAATGTGGCCTGGCCCATTAAGTAGTAAGAGTTTTGCCTGAGTAGGATTATATGTTCCTCTGTTATTTACTATCCTTTGTTTTATTTAAATTAAATTATTTCTTGTTCTATTGAAATGACTATTGTATCAGTTTTAGATTCTAATTAAATTTTAAACGTTTGCTTTCTCAATGCTTTTTCTGATCACTTTTGCATTTATGTAACTTTTTTTTGGTATAGAGATAGGACATTGAGTATTAACATATTTAATTCTTTATTTTCATTACAAAATATTCTTGAAGACTATGTAAAATATAATTTGAAAACTGTAAGAGCTGAATGTGTGGGTGAGTTTATCATATTCTCAGCCTGAAAACTTAAGATAATTTCGGAGAATAAGATTTGTTTCTTCTGGCACATGTATCCTCTACTAGTATAGTACACATTTTGAATTTACTGAAAGGTCTCTCAACCCCTTTTTTTTTTTTTTTTCCTTTTTGGGGGAAAAGTGGATGAATGTGACCAGTTCGTCACATAACAATGCTGTATGTCATGTAGTTTGCTGATTTATAACTGTGTTTATCTTGTAGAGTTCTTTGAAGAGCCGTTTGAAACTCCAAAAAGCTCCAATAGCTCTGTCAGGATCAAACCTGTAGAACGTGAAAGAGGAAAGGCAAGTTACCATCTTGCATAGAAAAAAACAGTTTCACGTGAATACTCTTTTCAAAATATCCCAAATTCTTCAATGTATTTAAAAAATGGAAGGGCTTAAAGCATTTACGGTTGAGAGGGGTCCCTACTTAAATCAATGATAAAAGTTCAAAGTAATTCAACAACAGTAAGGCTAGATCTCGTGTGAGCACTTCTGAAAAACTGGTTCAGTGTCTGTAAGACTAAATGTGTGTATGCCTATATAAACAATATATATAAATACATTATAATATATATGGTATAATATTATATATAAATGTATGTGGTTATAAATGCATATATACATACACAGGCACATAAATTAAAAAAAAAATACAGATGGTCTTTTGCTTATTTCATAGACTTGTATGTGATTTTTATGTTAATTTTGTTACACTTGCTAGTTGTATCCAAGAGTTTTTTTCTTTAGAAGCGTGGGGTCTGTAGAGTTGTCACAGTGTGATTAAGTAATGATTCTACTACTTATTTGTTTACTTGTTTTTAAGTTAAATATATAAAGCTGCTCCTATCTGAAAACTTAATATCGTTCTGTAATGAGCAGAACTCTCTTGCATCATCCTGAGTCATAAGTCTCTCTTCTTTGATAGTGGCTAAGGGTTATTATACTGAAATGTGAACTGCAGTAACAGTAGTTTACTTTCCTGTAGTACTCTAGATTCAGTGCAGTTAATAGAGTTAGAAATACTAAATGTGTTGTGGTCTTCAATTCTACAGTGCATTTTGCTTCAAAGCAGTGAATCTATATGATTTGTAAAATCCTGAGTTTGTTTCAGTTTCTCCATTTATAATTAATTTGTTTATAATACAGTTGTTCCCACATTTTTATCCTTAGCATAAAGATGTGAGATTAGATGTGAGCGTAATTCCAGGGCACGATATGGATACAAATTAAAAAAAAAAAAAAAACCCTCATAATAATGACTTAAAAAGAAAGTTGCTCAGATTAAATATTAGGATTTCTCCTGTATTTCTGTATATCTAGCTGTCCTCTGAAAAGTAGGTTATTTAGATTAGTTTTCCGTTAGAATTTGTTTGAGCGGCTGGTGCAAGGAAAGTATGTTTGCCACAAGCTGTTAGGATAATACCTTATTGAAGCTGAAGGGTAACAATGTAAAAATGTACAAGTATACCTTATTGAAGCTGAAGGGTAACAATGTAAAAATGTACAAGTTCAGATGCCTATTTTTTCATATTCCAGCCCATCCCCCTTTCAGATGTAGAATATCCACAGGAAGACCAAAGGGTAGAAGAAAAGGAGAACAGAAAGGCTGAACAGAATGGGTGAGAGATTGTTTGTTGTTTCACTTTCTCTGTTAACTTTGTTTAGAAAGTTAAGTAGTTTTATTATTGAAATTCAGTCTAATTTCTGTGGTCTCTTCCTATTGTTTGCAGCAACAAACTCATAGTTAGAAGGTGACTGAAATTTTTTTTTCAATTTCTCACGTAATCTAACATATTTTAAATAGCTTACCAAAGTGCTGGGTGGATAAGAGGTTATATTTCATTTGAATGATAGAAAAACATCAATTCATTTGTATTATTTCAGTTAGCTTTCTTCTTGAATCTACCTAATTTTTTGTATTGATAAAACCTTTTCCCCAATATACAGTGTCATATTTAGAAAATCTTACTAATTGTGATAGCATATAGGTAAATATTCCTGTTTATGTGTAATGTTTATTAAAAATGGCTGCATTTTAGAAAAACTTAGACTTTTCTACTATTTTAAGCTGATATATTTTTGCTTTGAAAGAAACAAAAATGACTGTGTATAACATGCCCCTCATGTTTCTTTTAGCTATTTTTTTTTAGGAACGCAGATTTTAAACATATTAACAGTATTGCTTAAACTGAATTTTCTCTTCTCAGCTAAAACTGCCTGTTGCCTGCTATTTGTGTGGACAGCCAGCACCTATTTAATGCTTTTGTTTGAGTCAGTTTCTCATTGCTAGGGAGACAAAACAAGAATGTCAATATTTGCAGCTCAAATTGCAGTGTAATACCACGTAATAGAAGCAATTCAGATCAGTATAGCTCTGAATAAATTAGGTGGCTTTCAGGTAATTTATCTTATACTTTAAATAAATTATTTTTTTCAGGAGGATTTATATGTGTGTGTGTGTATGTGCACGCACATGTGTGTGTGTATATATATAAATATATATATATATAAAATGAAGACAAATAGCAAAACAAATTATTGTAATATTTTCAGCACTCGTTTTTCTTTCTTTACAGTGTGACTGAAACCATTACTAGTATCATTCCTCATTCACTCAATTTAGAACAGGATGCAGGATTTCCCAGGTAAGAAAAACCTGTAATGTTTTGTGTGGACTACTCCTTTTAAATCTTCAGTCTTAAGTAACATTATGTGTAGATTTGATCATTACAACAGATTACAAAATATTTGTAGGTATAGTATATGTACCTGCAGATTGTACCACTAGTAGCCTTTCCTCAAACCTCTTTGTGCTGTAATCCTTGAAGGTCATGTACTCTCTCAGGCTGTCCAGAATATCATATGAATCAAACACGTTAAACTAGCAGTTCAGAGCTACTAAATTTCAAGAGGAGTGGTACTCCTCTTTCCTGGTTCCAGACTGAATCATGACATCTCTAACATTAAAAAAAGGACATTACTAACTGCTTTCCTTTACAAAAAAAAACAAAACAGTTTTTTTTATACATGCTTATAACCCTCTCAGTAAAAGTAGTTGAACTAGATGGTCCCAATGTCATTACTATGTTTTAGTTCTGATTATAGTTCACAGAAGACATACAGTGTTGTTGTTTTCCTCTATAGCATGGTTATTGTTTTTATAATGCACTCACTTCCCCCAAAAAGAAAAGACCAGCATTACTTTTGTAAGGAGACCTCTGGGATGCTTTTGGTCGTAAATCTTCCATGAAACATAATTGTAATTAAATACTCATCTGAGCAATATTTAAAGATACTTTGAGGTAGGCTTTTTAGGTGCCCTTTTCCATGTTTGTACTTCTAATGTATTTATTTTTAATATTACAATGCTTTGAGTATTAAGCATTTTTTTTGTTAAGACATAACATTATAGTTATAAACTTCTATTCATAATACTTCTGTAAATTATTAAAACATATATTCAGCAGCAACTGCTATATAGAAATGTTATGTATATGTTTGTGTGTATAAATAGAAAGTTGGAATTGGAAAGAGGGGTCAGCATCAGTCTTAGGCTTTGGCTTCTGGAACAACCTTCTGTACTATGAGTTATTTCAGTTTAGAGAAAGATTTGAAGTGTACATCCCTTCGGATACCATTTTTCTTGTCTGCAGTCTCATTTCCTTCTCCAGTTTTCCATGCCAGTCTTTTCAGTCTTTTTTTTAAAAAAGGCCTTTCTCCAAATTTAACTTTTCATGCCATTCTAATTGTCTTCCAAATAATTTCCTGTGCACCTTCACACTGCTTCCATATGCAAAACCTTTTCAATGTTACCCATCAGCCATTGCTTTACACTTTTATTTTTTGGTATGCGTTGTGGCCATCCTGTTCAGTTGTGAAGAGTTCTGCAAAGGTTGCCTGTACTCCTCAGAATATCAGCATCTCTCTTGAACATCTCTCTTGAGAGGATTGTCTTTTGGGTCAAGTTTTGATGATATGGATGAAGCCCTTTCGTTTCTTTATAACTTCATGTAAATCCCAACCCTTTTTATGTCATTTAAGTACTTCATCTGCTTGATTTGACCATCTTTACCTACTGTAAGGTCTAATTATATCTAGGAGTAATTGGAAAATTCAATATATCGCGTGATTTGGTGCATGTTATTTTAATGCTAAAAATTACTTTCTGATCTGAAATTACATTTGTCTATTTGAAATTAAAAAATGAACATTTAATTATTTAAGTGAAAGTAATTTGGCCATCTCTCTTACATCAGCTAATAATGCTTTTTGGTTTTATGACTAACCAGCCCTCTTTCTGTAACAGCATCATCTTCTGCCTGTATCTCTAGCAAAGGTAATGTTTCAGGCAGCTCCATGACTAAAAAAATCAGACAGGTCTTGCTTCTTTACTATTATTTTTGATCCAGTATATTAGGGATTACTAGAAAAACTATTTCTTATATCCTTTTGAATAAAGATTGCGCTGTGTCAGCTATTGCATTATACTTGTAAGTTAATTATGCTTTAAAAAAATGCAAATACCTTTCAAATTTACTGGATTGTTTTGAGACCACCTAGTATAGGTTTTCTGAACTCAGAATGTCTTTAATAGTTTTGTTTTTTTCCTTCTGTTCTGAAGTAATGTAGAGATTTCTGGAAGAGATGGTCAGCCTTCTCTGACTGTTGTGTCCGACATGTCAAGTGTTGACTCCAGTGCTTCCATTTGCACAAAACAGCAAGAAGTCAAGAAGCAAGTCTGTACAGAAGAGAGGCTGAGCACATCAGAAACTGTCAGGCAGACGCTCCAAGATGAAATGCTTAAATTAGTTCAGGTGAGGGCATTGAATTGTTGAAAATATAATGTATGCAATCTAAGCTATGTTATTTAAAACAAACAGTAGGAAAAGTTAATGTTTTTAAAGTATTCTGTGTTTGGTTGTGTTTGACAGCGATTTCTAGTTCTAGATAACTACTGTGAAAATGTGTTTTAGATTTAACACATGCTTTTGACCCAATAAAAGGAATGATAAAAGTACAAAAGTTTTAATGTATTTTAGTTTGCATAACTCAGTTTGCTCCATTTATATAGGTCAGGAAAGATTCTAAAGCTGTAATGACTTTTGTAGCTATAGCAGAAATTCATTTTTGTTGGTATATTTAAATTATTCTTTGTGGGCTTAGATTTCCTTAAACTTCACTGACAAAAGTAAAGGAAGACTTCCTTTAACATAACTTGTCTATGGACAAAAGAAATTCCATTTCAGTAAACATCCACACAAATAAATTATTATTGAAACTTTGAGATGTTATTGTTTTGTCCTCTGTATTAACAGGATTATCAACAGCTATAAAGCAGTAATTTTTGCCAAGATCTGTGTTAAAGCTTTTTACAGTGTTAACTCTGTGTATGTGTGTGTGTATATCCTAGCTACAGCAAATCAACTTCATGACTTTAATGCAAATAGTGCAATCATCCTTTGCCAGCCTGCCGAATGTGCAGCAGATTTTGCAACAGTCTCAATCTGCTCACCTGGAAGGAAGCCAACCTTCACACACCACAAAAGGCAGTGACTGTGAAAAATCTTCACGTTCTGCAAATGCTTGTCTAAAAACACAGCTGCCCACTCAAGAAGATAAAGGAGAATCTGATAAGAGCTCTGGTTTTCAAACAAGGAATAGTTTAAGAGATGAAAGCAACGATGGCCTTACTGAAGTAGGTATAACAAGGGGTTATTTATGAAGACTAATCTGGATATCTGATATGTTATCCTATCTGTTAATTTGGGAAATGGTTTTGTAGTGATTACCTTAGACAAAAAGGAATGTATACCATTTGTGTGCATATTTAATCTGTGATTCCTATTTCGAGGTACCTGTAAATGCTGTTTTGTTTGCTTTTCTGATTTAGAATCATCTGGATGTGAATGTTTCTTTAAGCCTATTAGAAAACCACTCCAGTGAAACAGGATTTATTCCACCATCTCAAACCTTACCTTCTCCAGCACCTGCTAAACCACTTCATCTCTTAGCTCCTTCCTCAGATGTTCAGAAAACACCCAAGCTTATCCCTATTAAAAAAACCCGAAATTACTCAAATGGATTTCCTTTGCTTAAACTTGAATCAGGTTATCGTTTCAAACCACCATATTTACATCCAATAGAAATTTCACCAGCTTTTGCTAGACCACCCCCAGTACCACGACTAGCTTGGAGTTCATCGGATTCCTTATGCAGCCATCAGTCATCATATACGCCAAGAAAATGGAGCAAGTCAACAGCACGTTTGAATGTGAGTAGATATGACCCCAAGATCCTAAGGCAAACATATGAGGAAGAGAAAAGATGGGCAGAAACTGTACATAAGGGACCTTCCAGACATCTACATCCAGATCATTATAAACGACAGCAAGAAGTTTCACCTCAGGAGCAGTTCTCTGCAGATGTGAATATGGACAAAGCACTGATCCGCAAGAAGTTGGCTGATATGCCACTACTGCATTTGCAGCTTGACCCGGTACCTAAACTTCTATCAGTTGTAAGACAGCCAGTCACTACTACTTTAATACCCGTTAAACCTATAACAAAGGAAACTGACTTCAGAGGAACGCTGCAGCACACAGGAATATCATTGCTACATGCTGATCTACCTCAAAAAAAGAAGGTAATGGATTTGATGCATTTTTTTTAAGTTGCAATTTTTTTTTTTCCAATTTCACAGTTTCTTATTCATCAAAAATAAGTTAATGCTTCCAGATTATGGAATTTGGAAGTGTTCAGCACAGCAGCCAGAAGAGATCTGGAATGAAGGTACCTTCTGTCGGCATATCAGTATGAGGCAGGAGGGCAGACTTGGAAATGTTTGTAACAACCTTAGATTGATTCCACGTTCCATAGTTGATCAACATTCGATGCATTAGTGCTGCATGCATAAAGAAGCTGCTCACCAAAAATACTGGTGATGGTTTATGTAGTAAAAAACGGTGCTGCTTTTACAGAACGTAAATACAATTATTTACAGGCATACGAAGAAAGCTGGAATAAATCCTCTCTTGGGAAGGACAGAAATGGAATTTTAAAAATTCCACCACCCCCACCCAGTCTCCTTTATCACTCTTTCGTTTTTGCTTCTCTCTCTGAATACTTTCAGGTACCAACACTCATTCCACTTCAAAAGCTCATTGCGTTTGAGCAACGCCACCAGCATCGTACTGTGCCCAGTGCTTCCATTGGACAGGACCAGGCTGAACCTATCCAGTTACTGAAAACTGACGTTGAACCATTTGAAGCAAGTGATGTACAGAATAGAAAAAGGCAAGCCAAACTTTTAAAATGGGTCTTCGTTTTGAAAGGCTCACTGGTAACTTACACCTCATACCTTTGAAATCAGTGGGAGAGTTTACAACAGCTTCAAAGGAATGGAGATTGGACGTAATTTTGTTTGAGAAGGTTAACATAGTAAATATTAGTAAAGACACAGCAGAAGCAGTAGATCATTAGAGCATCCAGTGGCTTTTGCTTTTACCAGGAGAACAGGAAGAACGTTGAAGTGGGGAAATGTTTTCAAGGAGCTATTGCTTTTATAAGGTGTTACTACAAACAATCATCTCTGCAACTAGGAGACAATTTTTTTATATCTGTATGTGTGGTTGAAGGTGTGTTTGTCTCCTGGCTATTTGCTATGTCCCGTTTCTGAAATGATTTGCTGGGTACCTTTATTTCAGTATATATTTCTTAATAGTAATTTTTCTTACAAAACAATGATAGATATTTCTATTACTAAAAGGCAGTATTTTTTATTTGTAATTAATGTATTGACAGGTGTGATGAGAAACAAATGAAAGGGGAGGAGGAAAAGAAGAAACCAAGTGTGACCTTCCGCCCAGATGACTCCGTCATCAGTATTAGTGATACAGAGATGGTTGATAAATCAGAGATGGGGGTATAAAAAAATATTTTTCCTTTGCTTTTCTCCACTCAGACATTAAAAGGAGAAACGGGAAGCAAACTGTAAACCAAAACAATCACATCTTTTCCACGTTCTCCCTAGAAATGGTATACACCTTTCATTAATATACTTGCATTTCCTGTAAACAGGAGATTCGGAATGGAAAAGAGAGTCCAAGTTTGCTTCTTGTTTTTTTCATATGAATGTTTAAAATAGGAGGTAACTTCTGCCTTACTGATACAAATCTTTAAAACTGGGACATGAACTTGTCTGTTTTCTTAGCATGTTTGTCAGTATGTACATATAGAAGGTAAATGTATATGCAAACACTTAACAGCTAGAGAAAATTTTTAGCCTAGCAGTAATTCTAGGAGAAATGTTCCAGGCTTTATTCTTTTCACATGACTAAACGACTATTTAAGAGGCAGGGGTGGGGAGCAAGAAGTCTCAATTTATCTCAGCTGCTTGACTGAGATTGAGTAACCTCATGTTAGGTTTTGACTTAACGCACTTTTTCTGTTTGTTTGCTGAGGTCTTTTTGACATCTTTTAACATCTTTGAGTTATACTTACCCTTACTAGATTTAAAGTCGGGGGCGTTCAGTACCCAGAATAGCAGCCTCTATTTCTGGACTGTACCATACTTTCTTTGAGATTTCCCAATCCAGCACAGCAGTTGGAGAGCCTCATCACTGCTGGGAGATGCTACTTATGGTATAGCAGAGGTAGCATGTTTCATACACTCAAAGAAGAATGAGGAATTTTTATAGTGTCACTTTCAGGTTACTAAGGATCCCCCTCAAGATACGTAATGGGAAATAATGATACATACTCAGTTATTCCACAAAGCAAGAAAGAATAAGCACAATAAGAAAGAGGGTAGGAAAGGTATGTTACAATGATTTTTTTTTTGTTTTAATCGCCACTCGAAGGAAATATATTGGAATTTTAACAGCATCAGGAAATCCTGTAATTGTCATTGGATTTCTTCTTTTTTTTTTTTTTTTAAGATTATTCTTTTTTTTTTTTTAATATTAGGATCAACAAGCAAAAGCTGCCTCTTACCTTGGAGGTGATTTCTTCATTTCCCTGGGTAAGTACAAGTGTTTTTAATACTTGTGGTGCTTAAATAAAATAAATTGAGTAGTAGTTTTTTAAATATCGAAAGAAAATTCTATAATAACAAGACATCCAGATGTAGTAACTCAATATTGTAGTCTGTGAAAATACAAACGACAACATCATGGCTTATGGGATCTTTCCACAGAAAATAAGGAAGTCCTTTCAATATGCACAACAGAAATTCAGTTCTCTTTTTGGGACAGGTATTTTTCTGAGATGGGGGGGGAAGAGAGCTGCAGGCAAATTTAAGGTCTCATATCCATGAGAATAATTCCACTCAGAATAATTCCACTATTTTAAGCTTCCTTAAAAGTGGTAATATTATAATTATGTATATATAGGACAGACAATGGACTTTGTAATGGAAAACAGATTCCAAGTTTACTTTTTGTTTTTTCTATGGACAGTAAAAAAGAATAAGAGTATGTTGGGTGAATTTCAGTAACTAAGGTTCACAGTGATCATGGTTCATGTGATTGAGCAGAAGAACATTGTAAACAATATTCTCAAATTTTAAATCAATGTTGTGTGTTTTACTCTTCCAATTTTATTTGCATGCATATTCTAATTACATGAAACTTAAAAAAGCTCTTATATTAACTTTTAACATAATCTTTCTAGCTTGCAAAAAGAGCATGCTCATAGAAAGATTTTCTTCTTTCTATTACAGTAACTCAGCATTATATTTAGTCTTACTAGGGGAAAAAAACTGGATCCCATTCTCTGAAATTGGGCGCTGGAGAAATACTGCCTTGTAAAGCGCTGTAAAAACAGTAGAAAGAAAGCAAAGATATACATGATCTAAATATTTACCACTCTAAAAATATAACACAAACTCCAGTTTTACAACATATTACAATATTCTGTTTAAAAATTACAAGTCCAAACTCAGCCTTGATTTTAACATTGTAAGTTTCAATACAGTTGCATTTGTTTGCACACAATAGGTAGTGCAGAACTTTTCTCAGTATCATTCATGAAATATATTTAGTGAAATGTTAAAATTTTCTGTCAGAAATGGAAATAAAAATATTATTAGAGCTTTTGATTTTGAGCTAGAAATATGAGAAAGCAGTGATTTTAATTCTTCCTCTCATTATGGATAACTATTGCATGTTATCGCATTTTAGACACAGTGGGAGAAGCATTCACTACTTCAACAGACCTACGTTACATGGCTTCTACAACAAAAAAACCTGCAGAAACTCAAGATGCAAGTACAAATACTGATCCAGGTAAGTGCTACCTGTTTGGGCTCCTGCAACCAGTTATTTCCAGTATTGCTTCTTGTTAATTGCAGTATTTGGTCAGTTTCCAAAATGGAGTAACTTTTTAGAGGGAAAACCAGTTTGTGGTGCTGTAACTTTTTGTTTCAAGAAGCTATTAAAATACAAGGTATCAGAATACAAATTAAAAAATTATTAGCTAAAATTAATTATAAATTTTAAAAAATTATTGATGCAGTTATTTAAGAGGATCCATATGCTGTCTGTGAGCCAAACCTGCTGTGAAATTTTCTTGGAAGCTCCTTTTAACTTGGTTTTATCCATATAGATTTTAGGCACTGTTTCACATATGACTGAAATTGCTTCCCTATCTCTTCCCCCCAAATTTTGTTTGATATTAAGCTGAAAAATCAGAAACGTGTTGAAACGATGCCATCAGCCTCTTGCCTTTCCTTAGATTTACCCTTTTTGTTTTTCTTTTTTCTCATCAAGTGCCCAAATCATATCAGGATGTTGGAACTGATGCTAGAAATTTGGTTTCTGAAGTTGGAAAAAGTCAGTCATTCATGTCAGTTCCTGTACCAGGTGTGGCTTATGTCTTTCTCTCCTTTGTTTATGGATTGTAATATTTTTTTTTGTACATGACGTAGCTTAATGCAGGGTATAGATAAGGCACTTAATTTATCCTATTTGTTCTTGAAACCTAATGTGAAATAATAACAATATTGTATATGAAAAGTTTGGCTATGTCTGTGGGTTTTTTGTTTGTTTGTTTTTTAATATAGTGCAGTGGACCCATACTTTTTGTATGTCTGTATTAGGAGATATGTTTGTGGATTTTTCACTTGGTTTCTTAAGGATTTTATTGTCTGTAAGCTTACGCATGAAAGTCTCGAAATAATTATTTGTAGCAATTTCCTTAAGCTGACACCAACAAGAGAGGCCAAAACTGCTATCCTCAGAGATACTAATTCTGAGGAAGAGCTTAGTCGTTTTGTAATGTGTGTGCATGGTGGTAGATGACTGGCCAACCTGCGAGTGTGTGGTGGCTAGCCTGTCAGCATGCGTGCTGCTCCAAACTCACTGCATGTGTTCCTCAGTCTTCCAGAACTGGGGCTACTTTAGACCGAGAGGATTGAGCAATGGGGTGTTAGGACGAAGATCACAGTTCCACATGAAATCAAGCTCTATTAGCTCCACTGATTACACAGCTGTTGCACATATCTGTTAAGTTGTGTAGTAGCTATATGTTTAAGTATCAGTGTTCCATTCTTAGACAAGAGTTTTCTTCCTAATCAGTTGTCTTTTGGTTTAGTTGGTGGTAAAAAGGATGATTTATTTTATTTTGGCTTTTTGTACCCCCATTTTTAACTCCTCACTAAACTGTACTGCTTAAGATTCATTACTTAAGTTTATTTTCCCTATGCTAGCCCATGAGCATTCTTTACAGGTAATTTTTCCTTTCTTTCAAAGCCAGCATTGCTTCATTTGGAAGATTATTTTACTATACTGTTTACTTCTTTGCAAATGGTTTACCAAAGATTTTTCTAGCAAAATAGTACCTTTTTCTGGATCAAGTGAAGACATTTTTTTTTTTTTTTTTAAGTATTCAGAACAGATTTGGAAATGATTTGCCATTTATACTGTAGCATGTTGCTTTGGTTTTAATCTTTTGAGTGGTTTTTTGCTAATTTATCACAAAAATGAAAAATAAATAGTAATAGATTTTGTTATATACAAACATTAAAGAAACCTATTAAGCTACATTATTTATCCTTATTTTTAAACATTGCTGATCAAAGCTTTTCTTATTGTTTAGAGAATGCAGACCGGTTTCCAAACAGTTTGTCTAAAGTTTCAGGTTTTTTACTGTAAATATAATTCTGATAATTATTCTTTTCTTGTAGAATCATTAAGTGTCCCTGAGATGTTACCACAAGACATGTATTTATACCTCCCCACTGAAGAGAATGAGACACCTTTACCACCTTCCTTGTCTGATGCACCTGATGTGGTTAGTGATGCAATAAATATATGGTTAAAATACACTTAAAATATGCTATTTGTCACATGAATATCACATGAATTTTGATTCTTCGTATCTGGATAGCTCAGTTGTATAATACTGTAGAAAAAATGCAGTTATTCTCTCTTTGAAATAAAAAGTCTCAACTCAAAGTGGTAAGAGGTAAGCACAGGAAATGATTAACAGTTTGCTACTCAGACCACATACTGTATAATTCTTCATGATCTTGTTCTTGTTTAGAATGGACATAAATATATCAATGTGATTGACATTGAGGACAGTGACCTACTTAAAGTTTTGCCCGTCATACCTGAATCTGCAGAAGAGACAGTTACTACACAGCGAAATGAGGAGTTTGAAATTTCGTCTTCTGCAACACTTCATCACATGATAGATTCTGTTACTAGTATACCACCTGAGGAGTTTCAGAAGAAAGGTAAACCATCTTTTTTTTTTTTAATCAGAAAAAGGCTATATATTTTGATTGTAGTATCCTTACCTGCCACAGAAAAACTCATGGCCTTTCCTCCACTCACATCCTACTTCTTTAGTCTTATCGATCGAAACATTCATACATTTAACCTTTTCATGATGATCCTTAACTGCCAATAGATGTTACGTATAGTAAGCTATCCCTAATCATTTTCAGTACTTAAATGTTTGTAGTTAGTTCTGATATGCTGGTGCACTCTCTTTTTTTATTTCAAGACAATCATCTCAAGAATGTATCAATCCAAATACAAAAGGAAGATAAAACGTCTAATTCTGCTAGAGATGATATAACTTGGAACATGTTACATGAGGATGCCAGAACTTTTTGTTCTTCAGGGCTGCCTGCCAAAATAATTGGCAAAGAATACTTTTCCACAAAGTTGCAGGAAATGGATATACAGCTACAGACACTTCAGAACATAGCAGAAAACATGGAGAAGGATTTCAGCAATACTAGACTGGTGAGTTCAGACTGCTAACCTTTGTGGCTGAAATAGTTCCTATTTCCTCTTTAATTAAAGACAAAATTTAGATTTTTGGAATGACGTGTTTTCAAGCTTGCTTAGTATATGTTGAGAGAGAGAATAGTGTACAATTCTTTCATATTTAGTGCTGAATCTGTTGGCTCCCATAGTTACTTAGAGTAGACCGCATGCTTGCCAGACTGACAACGTTCTTATTGAATGAGCACAGTATATGCAATTTCCCTAGAACTGGGAGGGTGGAATGGCCCAAAACTTCAGACGCAGCAAGAGATCTTTTTAGCAAAGATTTCTGCCATTTTGCTTCTGCAAAATATTATGAGACTATTTCTGGAAACTGTTACTATTTATTTTATAAAATATTTATATTGTTTGCATTTTAATAAATCTAAATATATAAATAAAAATAAACATATTTTGGACATAGTGCATTTGGGTGGTCTTATACGTAGTTCAGGAAATACTGTTTTATAAGCTGTGACAAAAATCTGATAAGAAATTAAAAATTGGCAACAGAATCTGGCTTCTTAATGCTGCATTTAATTTCCTAAAAAATTCAGGTGTGATTTACTTTACATTTCTGCGAAATGGGGAATGTTCGTAATATTTCTTCCTCTTACTTTGAAATTTTAATGAAGTTTAGAACACCATGGGAGTGACTATTTTAAGCATTAGCCAATAGGTTCTGATTTTACCTAGCTGGTATAAAATTTTCTTATTTTCTTAGCACACTAAAAAAAAACTAAGCCAATTTCTACTTCTTGGGGAACTGGCTTAATACTGAATGAATTCAATATTACTTTGTGTAATTTCACAGCATTTACTCTTTATATAGTCATTCGAAATGATAGTGTCCATTCCCTGCCCTCCCGAATATTCACAGAAATGTAAGGACCTCAATGTGTCACCTGCAAACAATTATTGCACGGACCTGGTTCGCTTAATCACTTAAATCGTTCCTCCAGGTGATTATCTAATCTGCTTTTTAAAAGCATGCAGTGAAAAAAATCTGACGTGCCCTCTCTTTGTTCCATCATTTTGCTGCACTTAAGGATTAAAAACTTCTTCTGAATATCTAGCCCACATCCTGTTCACTGAAAATAAGCTGATTTTCTATTTTGCCCTTCTTTCAGTGCACACCAGTTCATCATTATTCCTTTTGTAACAATTTCTTATGTATTGGAAATCAGTTATATGTAAGAATACTGATAAATCAATTGTCTCAACCTGGGATAGTCAGTTTTAGTTTTCACTTTCTATTTTCGCTTTCTGGAAACTCTTGACTTAGGAAGAATATGGATTTTTTTTATTTTTTTATTTTTTAGAAAAAATACATTAAGAAACTGTTTAAATGAAAAAGTCTACTTGAGCTACTTTGATTCCTGAATAATTTTCTTTGTTTTGATTAGGGATACTTCAGTAAAATACTTACGTGCTTCTGAGAAAAAAAGTGTATGTAAAGCAATCTTTGCAAGAATATCTGCTATGTAATTGTCAGAAATACTTTGAAGAATATATTGTTAATGGGTTTTGCTGCTTCATTCATAGCTAGTGAAAATAATAGAAGATTTTGAAATGGCTGCCAATGCAGACCTTGGTGCTCATCCCTCAATCTCTGAAGGTGCTGGAATCATTGGTGATGGTACGTGTTCAGTTAACTGAAGGATGGTAAACTTTGGATTGAAACTTGGCAAATTTTTTTTTTCCACTGAAGTGTAACGCTATGACAAAAAATATATTGAAAAATGCATCAAACATTTACAAATTGAAAGAAAATCAAAGGTAGAAAATTTGAGTAATGTTATGAATAATGCCTCAGCCGAAATATACTTGAAAATATTTATATACTTTAATCTTTTCCAAAAGCATAGTACGGGACCTGGTCTTCAGTTTTAAAGATGATAGTATATATTTCTGTTATCTCATAAAACCGAAGTTGGTGCTTTTGAGGGCTTTGCTTGCTGATAAATGGATGTGAAGTTTGCTCTTTGTATGTAATGAAACTTTTTTCATATGTCTTTGGTGGCTATGTATTTTAATATCTTCTCATCTTAATAAAAGCTTACATCTACTTAACTGTTTGCTAGAACTGGTGTATTGAATAATTTATTGTTAGCATAACAATTGATTGTAGTATATACTTACTTAGAGCTGCTATACTTTGCCAAGGAGCCCCTGAAAATTATAACTTCAAATTGGTCTAGGTTGGAAACATAACTAAATGTGGCACTAACGCAAGCTATGTGAGTTTTTGCATTATGTTTTTGTTCATTGGTCTATGTTAATTACTATGTTGTTTTTTCCACGGGATCAGAACATTATTCGACAGGCCTGATTTTTGCAGATGTTATGGATGATGAAAAGAAAGGGTTAAAACTGGAACATCCTGTACCCAGTTATACGACATTGGAAGTGCCCTCTTCTGCCTCTGCAGCTTCTGCTTCTAACTTTCCCAGTGGCATAAAGTCGTCATGTGCTGGTATCATTTTTATATTTATTTTTCCCTTTTTCTCCTTTTAAAGATGAGCAAACCTTTTCTCCCTTGTATTAACACTTTCTCATTACTGTTGAACAGAATGTTGTGTGATGCTAATGAGCATTTTATGTTGTATGGTGGTACAGTGTCACTGAACTTCAAAAACAGTTCAGCAGTGAATTATGCTTGTACTCAAATTTACTCCATCTGCAATGTTATTGAAGGAAAGTTAATAGCTTTGGGTGTAATTCTGAAGCCGTTCACTATGCTGTTTCGTAATTATTTACTGAAGTAGTACCATGAATCTAAACAGGCACAGTGCCACAGAACACTCATACCTTCCTCCCATAGCTGTCTTTATCATCTGTGGTGTTCTCCTATATGTTAGAGATGAGATTTCAGTTAAATACAGTCCACCTAAGCAAAATAAATTGTTTTATATCACTACGTGGTAACTACTAGCTATGTCATAAAACATTATTTCATGAGGTCTCATTTCTTTTTGCAAGCTTAATACTGCATTTGTAGTTATGAAGACTACAGTAGCATTAAAAGAAGGAGGAAAATTCACTGTGCAAGCAATGTATTCTGTATGTTTGAAAATGTAGGCTATCATATTTTATCTGTTTCCTGTATGGCTTGCTTTCAAGCTTCTAGTAATTATGTATACAGTTTGTGTGTGTTGTGTGTGTTAATATATATATATTATAATATGTATATAAATATATTATATATATTTGCAAAAATGCATTTGCCAGTCATGTTTTCAGCAGTCTACCTTAAAGGGTATTAAAACATAGTTCATATATCTGCATGTAGCAGCAGTGAAACTCAAATGATGTGCACAGCTAGATAAATTATATAAATATTACAACATTTATAGTTGCCCCTTTAAATACAAACCTGTTATTTGCAAGCTAAGAAAACTGTAGGTGATACTGAGTTACAACTGTAATTTGATGAATGAGTACAGTTTAGCTTAGGAAGGATGATGGTGCTCTTGTCCGCAGCTCTCTGTTCTACCCACACTGTCTACGCATCTGTGCTATTCAGAGTCACAGAATGGTTGAGATTGGAAGGGACCTCTGGAGATCGTCTAGTCCAACCCCACTGCTCAAGCAAGGCTACCTACAGCTGGCTGTCCAGGACTGTGTCCAGACAGCTTTTGAATATCTCCAAAGGTGGAGACTCCACAACCTCTCTGGGCAGCCTGTTCCAGTGCTTAAATTTGTTCCAGTCACCCTCACAGTAAAAAAAGTTTTACCTTAGATTCCGATAGAACTTCCTATGTTTCAGTTTGTGCCCATTGCCTCTCGTCCTGTCGCTGGGCACCACTGAAAAGAGTCTGGCTCAGTCTTCCTTACACCCTCTCTTCAGATATTTATTATACATATTGATAGGATTCCCTACTCAATCTTCTCTTCTCTGGGCTAAACAATCCCTGCTCTCTCAGCCTTTTCTCATATGAGAGATGCTCCAGTGCCTTAATCATCTTTGTAGCCCTTTGCTGGACTTGACTTTGTTCTTCAGCCACACTCCCTGAATCCCTGCAGTTCATAGCCTGGCTTTTTTGAGTAAGTGGAAATTGCTTATTTTCCATAAAAAGCTGTACAGTTAATCAGAAGGGATCAGAAGCTAACTGAAGTAGCATTAAAAGGAGGAGGGATAGGGCAGGGCAGAAAACTGACAACAGTGACCTCATCTTCCCACTAAAACTATCCCTGCCGGTCAGGGAGCTGTTAATAAATGTTCTCTGAAGACTCTGTATTAATGTGGCTGTAGATCACAGGACATTAAGACTATGTACAATATTCATTTATTTTTAAGGTGAACATATTCAGGTCCACATATTTCTGTGTGTTATCCCTCAAGCTGTTTAATGTATGTATTGTTAGCTTGTTTACAAATATGCAGTTTTTATTAACAGTGGCTGTTTCTTTTTCAGACTTTCATGTACATGAAGAATTAACTCGTAGGTATGTGTTTTGACAAAACTGATGATTTGGTTGAAAATTAGTTTATTTTAAACTCCTACCAAAAAGGGGACTCTCAGTGTAAAACTGTCACTTATGTAAAAGTTCAAACATTAGTTTTCAAACTGAATGGAAGCCTATTTATTAGCCAGTTTTAGAAACTCATTCTGTAGTGTCTGTTTGGTAGTGCCTGTTAAATTTGTTTTATCCAAAGCATTCTGTTGATCATTCAAAACTGCCTTCTACTTAAAAGCAACGGAGTTGTTAACGTAGAATGTCTGTGTGCGTTTGTTGATGTTTCTCCTATTTGCAAAATCTTGCCTACGGAGGATGACTGCCACTAGAAATTACCATATGAACAATGTAGAGCAACAGACTGAAGATTTCAAAAGTGGAATGATTTATCCATTAAAGGGAAATGGGCTGGCATACATACTTTAAGCTGTTAACTGCTGCTTATCATCTGGATCCAGCTTTGCAGGGGAAAAAAGTAGCTGGCTTCCATGTCTTGCTAATCATTCTGCTTACAGTTAATTCCTTAATAAATATTACCTAAAGCATAGTGGTAAAATGTATGGTTTAGGTTATTGTTTAAATATTTTAAGCCAAACTGGTTGTTGTGACTGAAGCAGATTACGGAGTGATTACATGACTTTGAGGAGGGGGTGTGAGGCCATCTTTAGCAGATCATGATTTTACCCAAAGGAGTGACTCGAAGTAACTGTAGCTTACAGTAGTAAGCTACATGTAGATTTAGCTTTTCTTGAGAGCGATTGATTAAAATAGAGGAGAGAAATGTGCAGAATTCAGGTAAAACCACTCTCGCACTCACGCTGGTCCTTGGTGCTCAGCTGGCTGGGTCAAAAGGTCCTTGAGAGTCAGGGTTCCTGAAACAGGCAGTGTCCTGCAGCTTCAGCTCAGCATGTGCAGCAATACAAGCCCTGTGGGTGTTCCTAGCCGCCTGGGCTGCCACCCTGAGCCTCCTCAGGGGCAGCTCTGCTCATGTCCACCCTAGTGGACCTCAGGTAGTCCATCTTGGGCTAGGGCCATGTTTCCTGATGCTGCATTCAGACCCCTCTTTGCTGCCAGGCTCCTCACATTAGCGAGATCTCACTCATTCTGTCTCATTCACACAGGAGAGTGACAAAATTTGCCGCCTGCGGGATGACAGTGAAGCTAATAAGGTGATGGCTGGTAACTTTTTGAAGACAGTGCATTTGCACACTCCCTTAATGTGTTGTTCTGTGTGTAGTAACACAATGAGATGTTGGGGAGAAAGAAAATTCAGTCTAAAGGATTTTGGTAAAACAACATGGATGTTCTCATTTTGAGTGTAAACGGAAGGATTTTTAGCTTGTTGTTCTTAGAAGCATATTCTACTTTAAATCAGTAACAATTTCTTTCCCCTCCCCCCTCTTTAAGATCTTCAGAAGATCCCCTGCAAATTACTGGCCTGAGTGGTGTTACTGACGTCATTAATGATCTTATAGAGGAAGGTGGTGTCTCTCCGATGGAGCTGGGCTTTACACAAATGCAAGCTAAGAAAATCTGTAGGTAATAACACAGCTGTTTTTATTATATATTGATTAAATAATCCTAACTCTGGTTATTCTCCTCATAGCTTTAACCCTGCTAAATCACACATTTGCTTACATCAAGTATTGAGTTGATTGATGTTAATAGGACCAGTATTAGAACTGGTAATTGGCCGCTCTTTTACTGGCCTTTATTGTAAAACGCGCTAATTGGTATGTTTTTGGTATTTGGCTTAAAGTTCTTTCCTTCCTAGTTGCTTGTACCTGCTCCTTCTTCTACCAGGCATAGGCTGGTGCACAACTCTGCACATACAGCCAATTCAGTTCAGCCAAGGGAACATGAGCCTCCTAAAGCAGTTCTGATTGGCAGAAGAGAAATTTCCTGTCAGTGGCAGATCAACTTCAGAAGCTCTCCGTTAACAGAACTTTCTGTAGAAGACTGGGAGTGTTTAAGTTTATACCTTAAATAGAGAAGTTAATGTTTTTAAAATAACTTTGTATCGTTACACAAATAGACTTGTGAAGGAGCTTGTAGGTTGAGGGAGGGAACAGAAAACATGATTTAAAAAAAAAAAATCAGACCAGAGAGATATTAAGACTGTTATACTGTACAATTAATAATCAAAGCTCATACCAATATGACTTCCAGGTTTTATTGTGCCAGTTATCCTGTAAAGACAGTAACACACAATCACTATAAAAAAAACTTTGGTTCTGTTATTTGAGTGAAAATGACATATAGAATGAAAGCTTTAGGGAACATCTTGGAAATTATTTGCATGCCAGGATGTTTATTACATTTTACAGAATTTTAAGCGCTTTGGTACACTGTCATAGTTTACAATTTAAAGGATGTGATAGATTGCGTCTCATTTACCTCTGCTCTCAGGAGCCATGATTCTGCTGCTGGACACCATCAAAAAACAGAAAAGGAGAAGAAAGAGATACGAGCATGGATGAAAAGAAAGCGAAAGGAAAGACTGAGAGAATATCTGAAGAAACTGGATGAGCAAAGACAGAAAGAGCATAATCCATTCAATTTAAGAAAGAATATGGTAAGCATACTGGTATCTTGAAGAGTAACTGTTAGGTATTGTACAAGTACTGATGGCTCAGTTTAAGTCTGATAAAAGCTCTTAGTGATTTTTTTTTTTTTCTGCATTAATATTGATTTTTTTAAAACTTTTTTAGAAATCTTGTTGGGACTGCCCGTAATTGTGTCAGAAGTGATCAGTAAGCGAAGATACTACAGTGTTTCTGTCAGGCTGCCGTAATGATGGTGGCAGTTATGACTTGTCTGCCGGATGTAGAGTCGGGAAGTATAATCCCTGCTCTAACTATAATGGAGACAGCTGTAATGTTCTCCAAGAAAAGATTTATTTTGATAAGGATTGGGAACGACAGGCGTTGTAAAGAAGTGTTTAATCTTTGTTTGATCTTTCCCAAAAAGAAAACATAATGAATTTTAAAAGCCCAGTTCAAGTGCCAACATCTTTTATGACGGTGATAGGATACTGAGGGCAGCAGCCATCCTTGTCATTCGTATACACAGATGTGTATGCAATTATGGATGGTCAGCAGAAATATGAGAATCTGGCATCTATCTCGAGTTTCTGAAGAAATGTTTTTGTCCAAGTTTCAACACAGACCACAGGTTTTTTTTAATTACTGAAAGTACATTGATGGCCTGATACATCGCTTCTGATCTGCACTGGGCTGGCAATAACTGAAGGAAAAAAAAAAAGTACAAAAGCAGTTAAGAAATAATTTCCTAATCTGTAATATGTCATAAAATTGATATTTGTCACCTGGAAATAATTTCCTAATCTGTAATATGTCATAAAATTGATATTTGTCACCTGGATATCTTCAAGACCTGAAAAGACACCACTGAGTCTGGGGGATCTCCATGATTGCAGGAGTAGAAACAGAGGCCCACAGCGCCTATATCCCCGTAATTTGTACTGATCAACAGAACGCAGGGTTTTCTTTAAATTCATTGATGCTTTTGTTATAGCATTTGCTCCTGAAATCATTAGCTTTCGTTACAAAAATAGCCTAAAAAAATTCAAATTGTGCTCTAGCAAACAAGTCAAAGTGCAACCTTTCCTTGTTTTTTAAATTAATTACTGTTAGGAAAGTACATTGGCTTTTAGGAAGCTGACTTGTGAGGACATCTGAAACCTTGAGCTTGACAACGATGACCTCTCCTTAAGAATATGAAAATTTTAAGCGTATGAGCTATGGAGGGCGGCAGTGGAGGCTTCCAGTATGTTTTTAGAGCTTAGGAGTTTATACAGACAACCTTTACTGAATCTCCTGGTAGGGCTATATGCTTTCATATTATTTTTTGTTTTAGCTGGAGAGCATCTTAAACAGTATCTTCAAGCCAAATAGATCCAAATATTAAAGGTCGGAGGTTGGACAGTACACAATAAATTAATGATTGTTTGCTATACTTTCTTTTACAGCACTGTAATCTTACTTCAAAGGAAATTAAATTGATGCAGAAGAAGAAAGAAGAAAAAGACAAGTAAGTTGCTATAAATGTAACCTGTGGTTTTCTTATTTGTATGCTAGTCTTCCAGTCTTAAGGAGGAGCTGATTATAACTATCTTGACTGTGAAATTTCGTGGCTTTTCGACCAAAAGCATGAACAATTCATGTTTGCTTTGCTATTTAGGAAAAGTCAGAACGTTTTTCATCTTTTATATTCTTCATTATCCAAATACCTATTTTTTTTTTTAAAGATTGACTCATTTGTTCTGGCAAATAAATGCTTTATGTTTTTGCTAATCATCTTAACAGGGATAGTATATGTCCTATGGAATTGCAAAAGGATGTCCTTCTGTACTGGCTAACAAATAACCCTAGAAAAAAATACTGAAGAATCCACAAGCCAGTTTTAGTTAAAGGAGTGCTAGCATGAATTAATCTGTAATGCCATGCTTACTTTCTCTATAGAGCCCTCTTATCTGAACATCACAGTATGAGAGTATCGCAAGCACTTTTCCTAATGAATGAAATGTTATCTGAAACAGCGGTGTTACCTGAAAATGAACATAGACCGTTGTCCAAGACAAGATCACTTCAGGAGTACAGAAAACAGCATATTGCATCTACTAACAGGTAGCAACTGTAAGCATTAACTCTGCTTTGATGTAGTGGCCTCTTTACCACACTTGACCACAAGGCATAGTGCTACTTGGTGTAGGATTAGCTTGAGAGAAGTTTTATATTATGGCAGAATCAAAAATACACTTTATAGAAGGGTCTGAATCAGAGGAGTCTTGAATTCCTGAACCAATCTTCTTAAAACTGCTAGAGCAGAATCTTGGAGGGAGTCTTAAAAGTGGTTGTGATTTGCCTCTTTGACCACAGAATCAGCCAACTCTAGTTAGAGCTGTTATCAGTGTCCTAACCCCCTCTGCTCAACAGCAATCAGGGTCCTGGAATGCAGCCAATAACATTGTTAATGATTTCGTTAGCATCTGGTAACAAGAAAAGTTGTTTTTGCAAGTAAACGTACTACTGCTCATACATATGGACTACATACATTAGTTTTCAGCAAACCCTAGGAGATTCACTCTCTTCCTTTCTAATTTAAGAAGTATTCCTCATTTTTTCATTATTTAGAATTTTACTTCCTTGTTTTGCACTTTGCTTATTGCCTTTTGAGCAGATGGTGGTATCTGAGTATTACAAATTGGGAACTGTGTTCCTCTTGATAGTCTTAATGTCACAAATACATAATCTAGGTGTTTATTGCAGTATACTGTTTCTTCTACAGACAGTTTTGTCACCCAGAATAATAGGAGGAAGGTGGGTACTTCACATAATCCTGTAACTTCCAGACTCAGACATCTCTGCATCTCCCTTTTTAATAGGTGAAATTGGAGGATAAATCATTCAACTGGTTGCAGCGTTGCATAGAGCCTACTGGTGTCCAAGAGCAGTTCTGCCAACATCAGCCTTGCCAGAATCAGAAGTGCTAAGTAGTGCTTTCACACAGAAAGCCACGTTTAGGAGTGGTAGTAACTTCCAGCTAGTAAGTTTTGTTGGAGCTAAACCGGTTCTTTGTAAAGCCAGTTTCATAAGTCTTCACTGTGATCCCTAGCACTTCTGATTCTGGTGAGGCTTACTGGCCCCACAAGCACTGTGTGATGCTGATCTTGAGCTAAGTGAGCTGTAGAAGATTTTTGTGGCACTTTTGCCTGGTCTGAATAAGCCTTGTTAGATGCAAGTTGTGTGGATGAATGATATGTGGAGAATGGTGGTAAGTGTTTTTTGTTGTATTTTGTTTTTCTTCTTGTAGAAGGCATCCTAAGAGCTGCATTCTGTCGGAAAGGAGCAGGATTGCTGCCAAATCCAGCTTTGGTCAAACAAGACCCTGTTTCACCCCAGCTCTTGGTTTAGCGCAATCCAGGGGTAAGAACGTAATTTTCTTAATGAGTGCACGTAGTGAAGATCTTTTTTGAGTTACTACCAGATTTTGAGAGGGAGGAGTTTTCATTTCGATGCAGAAAATCAGACTCAGTCATAGAAGTCTCCTGGCCTGAGCATGCCAGAATTGTGATATCATTGGCCTGTCAAATAATGAGTTACCTTTTCTTATCATCCCTTTCCAAAGACCATAATAGCTTAATTTGCCATGGCAAGAGTACTGTGTAATCCAGGAAGCATATATATGTATGAAATTTTTGAAATATCTTTTGAGTAGATTTGCATCTACTGAATATATCAATAGAAGTTTTTTCTTTTGTCTTCCTAGGCAATACCACTATGCTGTTACAGAAAAGTACTTCTAGAGAAAGACCAAGACATGCAACAAACTGTCCTGTTAATTCTAGATACTGTAACTTACAGAGATCAAAGACACAGTGCTGTTGAGCTATAGAATGTAGTGGAGCCATAAGACCCAGAGAACACATTTCATACATATTACATGCCTGGGTGGGATTTCTGCAAGACGGGCCTCAGATACAGTGTTAGTTTAGAGAGAAAAATTTTTTTTTTTCCATTGGAAACTTGTAAAATATTTTTAAAAAATCATCACCTTTGTTTACCTAATGAGATATTTTAGCCAGATGGCAGTTCCCAGATCGCTGCAACAAATATATCATATATTTCATGAGTCTCTGAAACAGATGTTATGAAGTCATAAGGCAAAGAGGACTGGACTTTCTTTTTCAGCTATAGACCACAGAGAGTTAGCAGTACAGGAGGTTGTATTGTGCTTCTTCCTTAACTTTTCTATGCTGCTTACTTAATGAGCTCTTTAAAATAGGAACTTTGTTATCCCTCTGTACAGTGTCTAGTTACAATACTATTTTGTCATAATTTTAGAATGGAAGAATATGACTGGATGAGATTTTTTTTAAAAAAAGAAAACAGTTTTACTGATCCTTGTTCCCTATTCCTATCTGCGTAGGTCTGGATCCACCAAAGAGTTTACTCACCTAAATGTTTCTTCCTAATCAAACTAGGATTTGATTGAAACAGAAGCAGGACTTGATTATAAGGGCAGAATTTCTGAATCAGGCAGAAAAAGGTTGCGAGAAGGATCAGTGTGAAATTCAGGAAATAGTGTGGATTGATTCCATTCTCCCTTGCAGTAGAATTATGCTAGTGGCATAATAAAAATCCTGTTTGGCTAGCTAAATGAATTTGAGTTGGCAATACAGGAAAGGGAGAGCGGTGGTAAGCCAATGCGGATTTTTCCTGAATCACTTACCTCTACGCATGTGGAAGACCATTCTCCTCCTCTTTTCCAACATTCTTTTTTAAACTCATTTTAAAAAATACAGGTTGAGCTATCTCTGATCTCACCTCACTGTCTTGTATGTGTTTCTCCAGTGTAACCAACTTGCTGAGGGTTTCACTGAAGTTCCAAGCCTTCCAAGAGCCATATGGTTTCTGGAATCCGAGATTGATGTAGTTGTATTCCTCTATCAAATTACTCCTGATGTAGCAAAGTCCCTTTTGAATATGCCTGCCCTACAGGAGCTGGATGCTGTTGGCACCTTGCACAGTCCTTTTTTACTTAATATCCGGCCCTGGGAAGACTATTCAAAGTGTGAGGCTGGAAGGGACCTGCACCATTCTCCAGCCATCCTCCACCTCAGTTCAACGTAACATGGCATGCTGACGTCAGTAATTGACACGCAGGTTCAGTCCTTAGAACCTAGCGATGCTGTTCTTGGAGAAGTTTCAAGACATTTAGAACAAAGCAGCTGGAAATGTTACAGTGTTATAGTCGGCTTGTTTTCTTCTCAGTTTCTGAGTACAGAGCCAGCAGAACACCAAAACAAAAGCCTCCACCTGTTGCCTCTGCAGTGCAGACTGAAGATCTTGATCATGAGACTGAGCGAGATGTAGTAAGTCCTTGGAGTGTGCCTGATGATATCCAAAGAATACTTCGTAATACTCATGACTCCTTGTTTCAGGTAAGATGTCTTAATTATTTGAGGAATGATCTGATACCTATCATGTAACACTGATCCTTTGTTAATTTCTGCTGTGTTTAAAAAGCGATTCTCTGTCCAAACAGGGTGGGTGGAATAGATGCAGAGGGAAATTTGGGTGATTCAGGATTCACATCCTGATTGCACAGGTTAGGCCTACATTGTGTCCTTATAAGCAAAGTAATTCTTGTGGGCCTTGCAAATGAATATGCTTTATAACAACTGTATAGTCAGGTTGTCTGTCCAGGCAACAGACACTGGTGGGAGTGTGTAAAGAGGATTGTAACTTTCATTTATTGCAAAATTAGCAGATATATAATTTGATGAGGACATGTTTGAAACGAGCATGAACATTTTTACTGGCTTTATAGGGATCTTACATGCACTATGATTCAGCTCATCTTCTCTTCCTTCAATAGGTTTCTGCAGCTCGTACTGTTAGTTTCTCTCCTCTCGGCATTAATGATACTGATGGTGTTTCTGAAAGCACAGGAAGTATCCTCAGCAAACTGGACTGGAATGCAATTGAGGCTATGGTAGCAGATGTGGAAGATAAATGAACAAAATTTCTCTACTGCTGTGCATTTTCAAAGCAATTACCAGTGTTTAGGTTTGTTATTTTTAATAACCATTGCTGTACTTAAAAATGGATTGAACTTGTACTGGTTATCATCTTAAGCAGCACACAATGTCTCTCTACTTTCACACATGCCTGGACAAAGTTAAATTCTTTAACATGTAGTTTGTTTGTAGGATGCCTTCAGCTCAACAAGAACTAAGTGCTAAATGCACACCCATGGTTGTAAACAAGATCTTCTGCATCAGCAACTTTGCCTCTCAGATGCATAGTTTTGTTCTATTTTAAGAGCACTGCACAGCTGTTTTACCAGTTCAACGTGTAACATCTTTACTGATGGAGTGAATTTTGTAACTCAACAGTTGTGATAAACTGATTTAATAAAAGTGAACTTACTAATTTGTACCATAAAGTGATTACATACACACAGCATTGTTATAGCTGTGTTCCACTGTTACTGTGTATGTGCCACTGCCCTAAAACTTACTTGTGCAATAATTTAGAAAAGTTTTTAACATTTTGACAGTTTGAGGTTTGGAAGAAGTATAAACAGTCAAGCAGCAATAAAGTAAATACAGACTTTTGTCAGGAAAATCAGATACAAGTATAAGACACTAAGAACTAAGTACTTAGTGAGGTAAAAAAAAAAATTACTATTCATCCATTCTGTATAATCCTGTCTTGACAGAGCTCTTCTAGCAGCCCCCAGATGTTTGTAGAAAAATTTCCAATATGTTCAGAGGCCACAAACTATTTTAGTAGTCTGAGCAGGTTCAGGTGGCTCTTTCCCAACAGCAGCTGTTTTTATTCTTATAGTGAAGAAATTTAAGTTTTTGATGAAAGGGTGTTAAGTTCATATGGTTAATTGCTGTCACTCAACATTGTAATAGTTAGTTACAAAAATAATTTTTACCCTTTTCAGAGTGACGCTGCATCTTGGCAAACACCCAGAAATATTTTTCAGAGAAAGACTTTAATGGGATTGCAGACATATCAGGATAGAATTTCCAGTTTCTCTATACCCAGAGATCGAAAATGGCTGTGTATTTTAGCAGTCCTCTCAGAGCTGCATGCATTTGTCCCACAAGAGTGGCCAGAGAGCAAGACTGAGCCAGTAGTAGTAGGAGTGAGCATCTCCAAATGAATAGAGCAAGTACTTTACTTTTAAAAAGAGTCAGCCCAAAGCATGAAAATGTGACTTCTACTCACAGTCTCAAAATGCCTTTCTCCAGGATGCCAGCAAAGACAGCATCAGTAAGTAACTTCTGTTCTTGGTGGAGAAAAACTGGAAAATTCTAGTTAAGCAAAGTATGAAAGTCCCTATGTGATCAGAGCCTGCTGTGAAAAGGAAGAGAAAAAAATCAGGGTCAAGACGGTTCCTCTTAAACTGTCTCCTAAAAGGTTCATGAATTACACAAGCAATGATGGTAGGAAGGGAAACCCTATCAGACCCAGCCTTTGTTTCTGATGCTAAATACAATATTAGTCATTAGATGTTAATGCATAGGTTGTGCTGCACAAACATATTAAAACAGAAATCACTCTCCCCATAAGTGAGGCTAACAAATATGGTAGTTCCATAGCAGATGACTTCTTTTATACAAGTTACCAAGATAATGTACCTGCGGTCCTAAAAAAATGCTTTGCAATGCCTAAAGTTGTTTGTGAAGAATTCATAGATCTTGCCAGTAGCTATCTGAAGATGAAAATGTTCAGATAAGTTTAGGGGGAAGATGCAGACACGAGGAATCAAGATTCTGTTTATAAAAAAAAGGGTATTGATGTTTGAAGGACCATTCTATTCTCTCTTCACATACATAGCTTATTCCTTAATATGTACTTTAGTGTCTGGGATGATACAGCACTCGCAGGTATAAATGAAAGTAAGTAAGTAAGTATTGTAAAAAGTAAGAAATAAATAAGAAGGGTTGAAGGAATAAGGTGGTTCACCCACTTTCCTCAAGCCAGATATCGCCAAGTGCTAAAGGAAAAAAAAGTGTATGAGTAATTAATTAATTTCAACCTAACTGGGGAGAAGACACTCCTTCCTCTAGCCTTTTTTTCCCCTACAGCATCCCAGATCATTAAACCAAGGGCAGAGAAGCAGTTGAAAGACCTTCCAACCATGACATTCAAACCTTCCACTCTGCATGAGACATGGTGGAAGCAAGTACCTGGGCAAAGCTCTACCTATAGAATCAAAGCAGTGTGAAAAAGCCCTCCTACGTGTGTAGGGACGGGATCATCAGAAGCTACCTCCTAATCCTGCTGCTCACGCAGACTCAAGAAAAGTTCTGTTGCACTTTCTCTTACTCTTCAATGTCTCTTTTTAAGACCAGAGATGAAACTTTTCAGTAGGTTTTCTCTGAGCAGAGCAGAGTCTCTTTCCTTCTACACTGCCACTCTCCAAAAGCAACTCAAACAAAATACATAAAGAAATAGCTCCAGCAAGTGTTTGCTACCAGGATGAAATAGGTCAAAAACCTTGAGTCCAACTCCTGAAGTCATGGCATTCTCTTAGAAACAAATTGAAAAAAATATTTTTTTTTTCTGCTGTCTATGTAAAGGTTTCTATTTGAAATATAGATGTATTTGTAAATGTATTTACAAACCCCATCTGACACAGGGCAGTCCCTCTTGCCTCTCTACCTCTCGGAGGCTGTTATTACATTATCATCAGTACCAAGAATGACATGCATAAGGAGATCATGTCATCTTTCCATTCCCCACTCCCAAAAATTGATAATCCTTTTAGTTGTGTTTTATATTTTAGTTGCCTTATTATTTTTTGAGCAGTTCAGAAGCAAAGCTTTTTAAGACTCTCATACAAAGCTCAAAGAGAAATGAATGCTCACCTTCAAATGAAGGCTTAAGAGTCTCAACAAACACCAGACTCCAGAAGCTGGAACTTCAGAAAACAACGAGGAAGTTAGTTAGTAAATACAAAATAAAATTAAATGCAATAGATCAAAGGAAAAAAGAGCAAATGACAAGCAATTCCAGTAACCCATATGCCGTAATTATTCCTATGATGGACTGTCCCATCCCCCATCTTTTGTCTGAAAAGAAAGAAAGCGGTGCATTACATGCACCCATAATAAAGCTTAGAAGTTACCTGTTTCTTGCTTCTGTTTACAGGTACGGCTCTGTTCCGCATCAAATATAGAAATGCTCTTTCAGCACAGAAAGAACAGACAGAGAATCAGAATGTAAAGTAAGTTTCCTTATTAGAGTGGTTTCCTCATTTGCTAGTGCTCCTAGGAAGGAAACATTTCCCCCTCAGCCACTTTAAACATTAAAAAAAAGTTATTATCCTGATCAGCAATAACTGGACCTACATTTGGAAATACTTGCACAGAAATACTGTATTTAATAACCCATGCCTAACCACCATCACATCATAACCATCAGTGACTCCAGTTAGAAGCGTGACATGCTGACACATGCGTGCGCACGCACACTCGCTCGCTCGCTCGCTCTCTCTCACACACATGCGTGCACAATTTCTGAGAAATCCCCAAAACATCCAGGTGAGCCCTATTTTACAATTTGTTGTTAAATTATCATGAAATATACTTTAGATAGATAGTGTATTGCCTTGCCATTGTATGTTGTTTCAAAGAGTTTTTAAATGTTTTCAAAGGGAAGGGAAGCAAAGCTGTCCTTTCCAAGTAATGAAAAGTCCTGTTGCCTCAAGAAAATAAAGAACCCATCTTTCCTTTCATCAGCTTAATGTAAGGTGAAAAGTTTCAGCAGTTCAACAGCTGATGATTCCAACTGTTTCAGGATCACTTTGTTTGTTAGCACGAAAGGCTATAAATGGAAAGTTCCTGTAAAGCTGACAGTGATTTGAAACAAAACCACCCTTAAACAAAGTCTTCTTTTGCTCAAGGTACAATACATGGTGCCATAACGTACAAGGAAGGGTTTGACCAGACTTCTACTTACTTACCAGGTAGACTCTGAGGCAAGACGGTTTCATACAACTTGGGCATTGGCTTGTTGTTTCTGTTGCTTTTCATTTTTGCTTTCTTCAGAGTGATCTTACTAAGGGAAATATCCAATAGATTATCAAATCAGCTGCTTGTTTCCCTAAGGAATACCAGGGCATTAGTCTCCTCCCCTTAAGTTACCCTGAAGATTAAAAACAAAACGGTTATTTAATGCCCATGAGATAGATAGATAGCAATTTCTCTTTCAGCAGTTCTCCAGATAACCAGGTATTGGCTGATAGTCACTTACCCCTCATCATACCCACAAGAGCTGTAGATAAAAGCCCCTCATGGCTTTACAACTTCTTGAAGTTGTGCCCTTAATGGTAAACTGCCAGGATCCTAGGACCAAAGACCAGGTATTACCAGTTGAGGGAGAAATATGCTATTAGGATCAGTATTTTACTCTGCTCAGCAAGGACAGCAAAAGGAGCTTTCTTGATTGGGATCTGAAAAAAAAAAAGATGCTCCTAAGAACCATGTATGAATTTATCCATTGTGCTCAATGTATTTGTTATAAAACAGGGAATGAGAACAGCTTTATTTTTTGTTGTTTTGTTCTTTTCATAGTAGTGACTTGTCATTTTTATTTTATTGGGTGCAAAACAACCCAATGTTACGATGCTGTGAACAGAAGCTCTTTTCTGCAAAATGCAGTTGAATCATTTTACCCCATCTGTGGATTTCCACAGGTGGTTGAGCAACTTTGAGAGAAGAACATCTCAATTAGAAGTGTACTTTTTAATCCACAGGAAGAAAGGGATGTAAATCGTAAGCGCTGCTATTCTCCAGAAAGATGAGTGCAGGTTTCTGTAACGTCAGTCTTGAAACTCATCTGAAAACTTCCTTCCATTGTCCATGTTGTTGACAGAAAAGGTTCCTTGTTTTAAAACACTTCATGCACTGGCTGATTTTAGCTCCTGGTATAGGGAAACTGGTATTTGCACTACACCATATTGGTATTCCTAGCGTCCAGATGTCCAGTTAGGAACACTGAATGTCTCAGGAACTGCATCAGCAGCCTTTTAAATGCGTGCAGAAGTTTGTGTGAAGGGAATCACAGAATCACAGAATCGTTTAGGTTGGAAGGGACCTCTGGAGATCATCTCGTCCAACCTCCCTGCTCAAGCAGGGTCACCTAAAGCATATTGCCCAGGATCACATCCAGACGGGTTCTGAATATCTCCAGCGAAGGAGACTCCACCACCTCTCTGGGCAACCTGTTCCAATGCTCTGTCACCCTCACAGTGAAGAAGTTTTTCCTCAGGTTCAGATGGAACTTCCTGTGGTTCAGCTTGTGCCCGTTGCCTCTTGTCCTGTTGCTGGGCACCACGGAGAAGAGACTGGCCTCATCCTCTTGACACTCCCCCTTCAGATACTTGTACACGTTGATGAGATCGCCTCTCAATCTTC